AGTGAGGACGAGAGTGCATGTTAGTGCAGAGCGTCGAGTGTAACGAGTGACTCACTGCGAGGGACGGTGACTCACGGTGACCTGTGTGACCCCACCTGATGACATCCACACAGTGCGGTGCAGGTGCTGCCGCCACTCCCTCATTGTACTTGTGGCAGGAATAGGGTGACTTTACACCCCATTACTGTGCTCTTGTGGGGATGGGGGAGGGGGATTAGTATCATGGGGTATTGCTAAACCCATAAGGGTCATGCAGTGTCTGGGGAAACAGGAGGGAATCATTAAGTTATGGAGAACTTCAATGTAAATTACACATTGTAACTTTTGTAAAGAAATAAAAATTTGATTTGTAAAGCACAACATCGATCATTATTATTTAAATACTTAAAAACATAATTTATTATTTTCTTGATTTTTTGCTTTATACATCACTGTATTATACATCACTGTATTACTGCTTATACATTATGGCTGTAAAATACAAGTTAGGTTATATTTACAAGGTTATACCTGTCAGTATTTACAGTTAAGTGTTGCATTTACAAAGTTATACACATTTACATTTACAAATAGGACATTTAAAACCCCTTCGTGAGGTATTTCACAACCTCCAAACCCCAAGTATTAACGAGTGTCAAACACGTCCACTTGCTGGGTTGTCCGGTCATGTGACAGTTTCTCTCTGGCCCGGCCGGCCTGCCCATCCTCCTGCCCACCCTCCTTCCTGCCTGCCCTCCTGCCCACCCGCCCGTCCATCCTCCTGCCCACCCACGCCATTAACAAATTAAACATGACAAGATATCAGAGACCTTAATTCTATACATAAAGTCCTGGAGAACAAACGAGTGTTGGAGTGAAGGTGACCATTAAGTGTCTTTGGAAAAAACTTTATAAATACTGGACTGTGTATTGAAATAGCATGGCAAAAAAAGGCCACAATGGAAAAAATAGTAGAAATACCTCTGCAGTTTCACGTCATTATATACATGTATACGTCTTTAGAGAAGCAAACGAAGAGAGAGAGTGAGAGAGTATGTGAGTGAGTGAGTGAGTGTACTCACCTAATTGTGGTTGCAGGGGTCGAGACTCAGCTCCTGGCCCCGCCTCTTCACTGATTGCTACTGGATCCTCTCTCCTTCTGCTTCCTGAGCTTTGTCATACCTCTTCTTAAAACTATGTATGGTTCCTGCCTCCACTACTTCACTTGCTAGGCTATTCCACTTGCTGACAACTCTATGACTGAAGAAATACTTCCTAACGTCCCTGTGACTCGTCTGAGTCTTCAGCAGTGTGTGTGTGTGTGTGTGTGTGTGTGTGTGTGTGTGTGTAAAAGCGTATCAAAGGAATCTGTCATTTTTCTGTTAATTTTAACAAATGCATTCAGGCGCTGCCTGTGTTTCTTTGCGGCCAAAACAGTGAATGTTGTGCTCCCACACACCCGTAGAAAATACATCTGACCGCAGCCTATGCAAATGACAACAGTGACTTGTTATTTACAAACCTCCGAAGCGATTCACCGGCTTTACTTCAATCTTGGGAGTCGACAAGGCCGTCACTGTCTTGTTGATGCTGTGCGCCGTCAATGCTGTTCCTGGAATACAATGTAAATCTTTATATCCACACAAACGTATTTGGAACTTACAGTGGTCAAGTTTATAGTCCTCATGGTTACAGTGGCTGGGTTTACAGTCCATGTGGTTACAGTGTGTGGGTTAACAGGTCTTGTGCTTACAGTGGTCAAGTTTATAGTCCTCATGGTTACAGTGGCTGGGTTTACAGTCCATGTGGTTACAGTGTGTGGGTTAATAGGTCTTGTGTTTACAGTGGTCAAGTTTATAGTCCTCATGGTTACAGTGACTGGGTTTACAGTCCATGTGGTTACAGTGTGTGGGTTAACAGGTCTTGTGTTTACAGTGGTCAAGTTTATAGTCCTCATGGTTACAGTGACTGGGTTTACAGTCCATGTGGTTACAGTGTGTGGGTTAACAGGTCTTGTGCTTACAGTGGCCAAGTTTATAGTCCTCATGGTTACAGTGACTGGGTTTACAGTCCACATGGTGACAATTTATATACAATCACGATACAGCTGTATGTCACGACAATGTTAAAATGAACGCTGTGGTAATGCTTGCTTTTAGGCCTATGTAGGTACCCTGAAAATCAACACAGCCACTGATCCCATTCATCAGCATGAACCCTAATGAAAACACAAATGATTCCGATGCGAATGCACTACATAAACATTCTCACTAGGTAAGCTAGCAAATGCTTTAGAGTGATTTAACATTACTTAAAATCACTGATGCATTTTTTCGCTACACGCAGACTGATTTTGCAGATTGATGGCAAAAGTGAATTTTCACTCTGCTTATTCGGCAGGAAACACTGCAGCTTTTGCAGACGTTAACGGGGAAAACACTGCACCAAACTTTTAAGAAATGGATAATGTATGTTTTTATGGTCGATATTCTTAGCACATTTGTGTATTATTAGTCATGTGTGTAACAAGACTTGTTTGTAAATTAAAACACCAAGAAATTAACTGTATATTAAAACACCAAGAAATTAACTGTAAATTAAAACACCAAGAAATTAACTGTATATTAAAACACCAAGAAATTAACTGTAAATTAAAACACCAGTACAATGCATGTATTTATAAACTAAACTAAAATATTATTATTATTATTATTATACTATTATTGTTAAATAAGGCAGAAGGTACACATATATACTAACATGTCCAACAAACAAGTCGACTGTGTGATGATTAAGTTCGTCCACTGGTCGACTGTGTGATGACCGAGTCTGTCCATTGGTCGACTGTGTGATGACCAAGTCTGTCCACTGGTTGACTGTGTGATGATTGAGTTCGTAGACTGGTCAACTGTGTGATGACCGAGTCTGTCCACTGGTTGACTGTGTGATGACCGAGTCTGTCCACTGGTTGACTGTGTGATGATTGAGTTCGTAGACTGGTCAACTGTGTGATGACTGAGTCCGTCCATTGGTCGACTGTGTGATGATTGAGTCCGTCCACTGGTTGACTGTGTGATGATGATTCCGTCCATTCGTCAACTGTGTGATGATCGAGTCCATCCATTGGTTGAATGCGTGATGATTCAATCCACTTGTCCATTGTTTGTCAAGTTGCTGCGGGACGCGTTTCCACATCAACCACCGCTCTCGCCGTTGCTATACTCTTTAACTATTAAACTATCCAAATGTAGATCAATGATCACGTGCGTAGCGCTCAGAATGTAGATCTATGTTTTTTACGTATGAAAGCATGTAAAATCGAACGTAGATCTATGTTCAGAGCGCTACACACGTGAACGTAGAATTACGTTTGGACAGTTTAAGAGTTAAGGGTGGTACCTTAAAGTGCTCTTAATCCAAGGACTTTGTGCTATTCTTGTCTTCCACCTGTCCCATTAGGGTTTAACACTTGACTCAAATTGAAACATCTATAAGAGAGAAGTTGCCAAATGTCCATTAGAGTATCGGTTGAATAAATCCGACGCGGTGGACCTCAGACCTCAATTTTCCTTCAACCACAACAAGAAATTAAAAAAAAATATGTGATTTATGGAATTTTCAACCTCAAAAAATATTTATATATAGAAAATATTAGTGCAAAATTATATAATAGTTTGACTTGGATAAAGAAAATGTATACAGTGAACTCTCTCATACAGCTCCTTTATAAAGTCTGTGGTTTTGTATATACAGTAGTACCCTGGTATACAGTACCATGGTATACAGTACCATGGTATACAGTACCATGGTATACAGTAGTGCCCTGGTATACAGTAGTACCCTGGTATACAGTAGTACCCTGCTATACAGTAGTACCCTGGTATACAGTACCATGGTATACAGTAGTACCCTGGTATACAGTACCATGGTATACAGTAGTACCCTGGTATACAGTAGTACCCTGGTATACAGTACCATGGTATACAGCAGTACCCTGGTATACAGTACCATGGTATACAGTAGTACCCTGGTATACAGTAGTACCCTGGTATACAGTACCATGGTATACAGTAGTACCCTGGTATACAGTACCATGGTATACAGTAGTACCCTGGTATACAGTAGTACCCTGGTATACAGTAGTACCCTGGTATACAGTAGTACCCTGGTATACAGTAGTACCCTGGTATACAGTAGTACCCTGGTATACAGTAGTACCCTGCTATACAGTAGTACCCTGGTATACAGTAGTACCCTGGTATACAGTAGTGCCCTGGTATACAGCAGTACCCTGGTATACAGCAGTACCCTGGTATACAGTAGTACCCTGCTATACAGTAGTATCCTGGTATATAGTAGTGCCCTGGCATACAGTAGTACCTTGGTATACAGTAGTACCCTGGTATACAGTAGTACCCTGGTATACAGTAGTACCCTGGTATACAGTACCATGGTATACAGTAGTACCCTGGTATACAGTAGTACCCTGGTATACAGTAGTACCCTGGCATACAGTAGTACCCTGGTATACAGCAGTACCCTGCTATACAGTAGTACCCTGGCATACAGTAGTGCCCTGGTATACAGCAGTACCCTGGTATACAGCAGTACCCTGGTATATAGTAGTACCCTGGTATACAGTACCATGGTATACAGTAGTACCCTGGTATACAGTAGTACCCTGGTATACAGTAGTACCCTGGTATACAGTAGTACCCTGGTATACAGTAGTACCCTGGTATACAGTAGTACCCTGGTATACAGTACCATGGTATACAGTAGTACCCTGGTATACAGTAGTACCCTGGTATACAGTAGTACCCTGGCATACAGTAGTACCCTGGTATACAGCAGTACCCTGCTATACAGTAGTACCCTGGCATACAGTAGTGCCCTGGTATACAGCAGTACCCTGCTATACAGTAGTATCCTGGTATACAGTAGTACCCTGGTATATAGTAGTACCCTGGTATATAGTAGTGCCCTGGCATACAGTAGTACCCTGGTATATAGTAGTACCCTGGTATATAGTAGTACCCTGGTATATAGTAGTACCTTGGTATACAATAGTACCCTGGTATACAGTAGTACCTTGGTATACAATAGTACCCTGGTATACAGTAGTACCCTGGCATACAGTAGTACCCTGGTATACAGCAGTACCCTGCTATACAGTAGTACCCTGGCATACAGTAGTGCCCTGGTATACAGCAGTACCCTGCTATACAGTAGTACCCTGGTATACAGTAGTACCCTGGTATACAGTAGTACCCTGGTATATAGTAGTGCCCTAGTATATAGTAGTGCCCTGGCATACAGTAGTACCCTGGCATACAGTAGTACCCTGGTATACAGTAGTACCCTGGTATCCTCTAGGGATACCTTCCAAGACGTACCATGGATGCCCAAAACCATGGACAGTAGCGAAATCTATATAGAAGTCGTTTTCATTTACATATATGAAGACTGTGTCTAGACTGTATCAGGACTGTATCTCGACTGTCGTACATGCATGATAAACAATACTGACAAGATGAAGATTTAGACACATGTACAACATCTGGGTATCTTGATTTTAGACATTTTGCCATCCAGTGGCTTTATCAGTACAGCTTCTAGGACTGTAGAACCATATACAAAAGATGAGATAATTAGTCCCTCGGCCTTGGTGTTGGCGTGGAGACCACCGTAGATTCTGGAGCAGAGGCAACGAGGCTGGCGCTTATATACTAATCATCAGGTGGAAAGGGGATGGGTAGCAGATGAGGGCATAGTCACTGGTAGGCGGGATTCCCCAGTGGAAGTAGGTCCTACCCAAAGAGATGGGTAAGTTGTAGTAGCTGTGAAGAAGGTCTTGTAGATGTCCTCTGAACCAAGATTCCATTATGTTGCAGTGTCTGACAAGTTGTGCAAGAACGGTATACAATACCGACAAGATGAAGATTAGTATATGAGCGCCAGTCTCCTCGTCTCTGCTCCAGAATCTCTACAACTACGGTGGTCTTCACACCAACACCAAGACTGAGGGACTGTTTACCTCATCTTTTGTATACAGTTCTTCTGTCTTCAAATTATGTCCTAGAATCTGTATTGATAAAGCCACTGGATGGTGAAACATCTACAATAATGATACCCAGATGTTGTATGTGTGTCTAAATCTGTATCAAGACTGTATCAAGACTGTATCAAGACTGCATCAAGACTGTATCAGGACAGTATCAAGACTGTACCAAGACTGTATCAACCTACGATAAAGTCTAATTGATAAATTACGCACAATAAGTGGAGAATTATCACTTGTCCAGTGCTGGGCAGCACTTGACGGCTTCTCTCAGCCTCAAAACAACTCCCACCATCACTACCGTTGTCCTCTGATGCCGTTATTAAGCAAAGTTGAGGCTTATTTTTTGGCCGCGGTGAACCACGGAAACCGAATCCGCGGATATGGAGGTTCTACTGTACTAGTGGAACTTTTTAAAAGAACTGACTGTATATAGTGGAACTGTATAAGAGAAGTGTCTGTATATAGTGGAACTGTATAAGAGAACTGACTGGCTCTGGTGGCCTGGTGGTTAACGCTCTCGCTTCACACGGCGAGGGCCTGGGTTCGATTCCCAGCCAGAGTAGAAACATTGGACGTGTTTCTTTCCACCTGTTGTCTATGTTTCCCATCAGTAAAATGGGTACCTGGGTGTTAGTCGACTGGTGTGGGTCGCATCCTGGGACACTGATCTAAGGAGGCCTGGTCACAGACCGGGCCGCGGGGGCGTTGACCCCCGGAACTCTCTCCAGGTATATAGTGGAACTGCATAAGAGAAGTGACTGTATATAGTGGAACTTTTTAAAAGAACTGACTGTATATAGTGGAACTGCATAAGAGAAGTGTCTGTATATAGTGGAACTTTTTAAAAGAATGACTGTATATAGTGGAACTGCATAAGAGAAGTGACTGTATATAGTGGAACTTTTTAAAAGAACTGACTGTATATAGTGGAACTGCATAAGAGAAGTGTCTGTATATAGTGGAACTTTTTAAAAGAATGACTGTATATAGTGGAACTGCATAAGAGAAGTGACTGTATATAGTGGAACTTTTTAAAAGGACTGACTGTACATAGAAGAACTATATAAGAGAAGTGACTGTACATGAGAAACGTCTCATCTCACGGGACAATGAGATACAACAATGAATTTATCATCAAAATTGAAGACGAACTACAAGCATGTACAAACATGTACAAACATGTGCAAACATGTGCAAACATGTACAAACATGTGCAAAATAAAACAAATGTAAATATTTTGAAATTATTGATACAACGAAAAATACAAGCAGAATACAGTAAGGTTAACAAATACAGTAAGCTTAACAAATACAGTAAGCTTAACAAATACAGTAAGCTTAACAAATACAATAAGCTTAAATACAGTAAGCTTAACAAATACAGTTAGCTTAACAAATACAATAAGCTTAAATACAGTAAGCTTAACAAATACAATAACCTTAACAAATACAGTAAGCTTAACAAATACAGTAAGCTAACAAATACTTGAAGCTTAACAAATACAGTAAGCTTAACAAATAACAATAAGCTTAACAAATACAATAAGCTTAACAAATATAGTAAGCTTAACAAATATAGTAAGCTTAACAAATGCAGTAAGCTTAACAAATACAGTAAGCTTAATAAATGCAGTAAGCTTAACAAATACAGTAAGCTTAACAAATGCAGTAAGCTTAACAGACACAATGCAGTAAGCTTAACAAGGTATACAGTGGCGTCTCTTATAAAGCTCCGCTATACGACCATTTCCGCAAATGCGATTAACAATGTTCGCCGGAAATTGAACAACACGAGCCACGAGGCCTTCCTGTCCGCTATTCAATTTCGGACGGACTTTTTCAGTCTCATTAACCAAAAATACGGCCTTACGTAGAGCTTTTGAAGAGAGCTCACTGTGTTATATTAACAAAAACAGCTTAAATGTTAACAACAGTTGAAAACTACGAACTAAAGCCTAAAACTGATAACAAGTCACTAAAATAACAGTGATAACAAGTCATAACTAAAATAACAGTGATAACAACAGTCATAACCCTACAATAACAGTAATAACAACAGTCATAACTAACAGTAACAACAGTCATAACCCTACAATAACAGTAATAACAACAGTCATAACTAACAGTAACAACAGTCATAACCCTACAATAACAGTAATAACAACAGTCATAACTAACAGTAATAACAGTCATAACCCTACAATAACAGTAATAACAGTCATAACTAACAGTAATAACAGACATAACTAACAGTAATAACAGACATAACTAACAGTAATAACAGACATAACTAACAGTAATAACAGACATAACTAACAGTGATAACAGACATAACTAAGAGTGATTACAGACAGCTAACAGTGATAACAGACATAAAAGTGATAACAGACATAACTAACAGTGATAACAGACATAACTAACAGTGATAACAGACATAACTATAATAACAGTAATAACAAGACATAACCCTACAATAACAGTAATAACAACAGACATAACCCTACAATAACAGTAATAACAACAGACATAACCCTACAATGATAGAAGCCATAACCCTCAAATAAGTGACAACAGCCACAGCCGTACACTATGTAGTTGAAACAGCTGAATGGGCAGTTTCTGGTGCTCAAGTGACAGTACGGAAGACGTACCAGCGAAATAGCAAAGAATTTGGTTGACTGGAACAATTAAATTGATCTTAAAGTGGGGAAAATTGCCAGTGCATAAACTGCGCTGAGACTGCTCAGTTCGCACCAGCGTAATTTCGCAAGTTTTCCATCAAATTTTGTGTTTTGGTGTCGCTACCTTTGCAAAAAGATTCTTTACCAATTTCGTATGAATTTTTTTTTCCTTGGGGGGTGGGGGGTGATAATTTTTGGACTCCAAGACTAAGTTTTAGATCAGGAGTCCGGACCCTGGATGGGTTAAGTTTTTGATGCACTTACACAATTGCGTCTACAAATAACTGCTCTATATAGAGTCGCTTTATGAGACAAGTGACTGTATACAAGTGTATACAGTCATACAGGCGGTCCTGTATACAGGTGGTCCTCAACTTACCATGGTTTGACTTATGATGGTTCGACTTTACGATGGTACAGAAGCAGTTACTTTGGAGATGAAACTCAAGATAATTACCCAACATGAAGGTAACAAGTCCCTAACTTGTATTCATTTACTGACTTTTCAATACTGGTATTTAGTTAGTTACAGTCAATATTTGTTTATTCACTTATTCAGTTACAGTAGTTATTTACCGACTCATTTATTTAGCATGTCGTATTCATATTCGACTTAAGATATTTTCAATTTGCGATATATTCAACTTACAATAAGTTCGTCAGAACACAACCCTATCGTAAGTTGACAACCACCTGTATAGTGCGTTACTGGATAAATCTACTGTATCATATTCCAACAACTGTACCACGGTCCACTACCAGGGTACAACTGCACCACAGATGTGTTTATGAAAGAATGAGCGAGAAAAAGTTGGAGATGCGACGAATCAGGTTGGGCTTTTGTGTTGTGGTTGTCGGAGGAGAACTTTCATCTGGGACAGAAACAAGACAGACGCATCACACACTCTGACCTCTGAGGTTCTATATATGCAGAAGAAATTATTTTTATCTGTACTGTACTTACCTGTCATCTATGTTCTATAGTAGCTTAGTCTATTAGTGAATATGGTCTATAATAGCCAGGTCTATTAGTCAGCTATGATCTATAATAGCCTGGTGCAACTGTTAAGTCTATTCAATAATGTAGTCTATCAGTTGCTGGAATTTTTCACAGCTTGGTCTATTAGTCAGTTCAGGTATCTTATTAATCAATCAACAGTCTTCTAGCAAGAACATTACAATGTCACCAACAAACTGGACACTACAAGCAACAAGGGAAAAGTTGTCACAACTCACCCAGGCTGAATTTCCAGAGTTTGTTAGGTCCGATCTCCACCACATAGATGTCATAGCCGTCAGCAGATACAGCGATGTCATGAGGGTTACTGAAGCCCTGAAATATACAGCAATGTCATTAATGAAACCCCTGGAGCATACAGTGATGCCATTACTGAAATCCTGGAGCATACAGTGATGTCATTACTGAAACCCTGGAGCATACAGTGATGCCATTACTGAAACCCTGGAGCATACAGTGATGTCATTACAGTTACTACAACTGTGATTATTTTTTTAACAACTCAGTCGTTTACCAACAAGGTACGGTGACCCAAAAAACACGAAACCCTCTCATCATCATTCACTCCATTACTGTCTTGCTAGTTAAAATACTGTAACATCAACACCACTCCTTCAGAGTGCAGGCACTGTACTTCCCATCTCCAGGATTCAAGTCTGGCCTGCCAACTTCCATGAATCCCTTCATAAATGTTACCTTGCTCACACTCCAACAGCACATCAAGTCCTAAAAAAACCATCTGTCTCCATTCAATCCTATCTAACACATTCATGTATGCTTGCTGGAAGACTTAGATTTAGATTTAGATTTTGTCACCGAAGTGGCTAGTTTATTGTGCACCCCATATCCATCCTGTGGACGGTAGCGTGAGAGCATATGGATACACAATAGGCCTAGGAACTAGGCCCCAAAAGGGTTAACAGGTGCACATATGAGTTTATATCTACAGATCTATAGTTCACTTATCTGTTACAAGCAAATTTAGGAAATTTGCTTAGTATATCTGGTATCTTATTTTCATTAATAAGATATCTTGACATGTCACATAGGTTATTATACTGTCTGTCTCTGTATTCCTCAATAAGTGGACAATTAAGCACATAGTGTTCAAGACAGTGACCATATGTCTGATCACATAATTTACATTTAGTTTGATCATCATCTGTGTGTCTCCCAAACTGCCAGAAGTACTTGTAACCAAGCCTAAGTCTGGCCACTACAACATCTGCCAGTACTTGTAACCAAGCCTAAGTCTGGCCACTACAACATCAGTCAGTACTTGTAACCAAGCTTAAGCCTGGTCACTACAACATCAGTCAGTACTTGTAACCAAGCCTAAGCCTGGCCACTACAACATCAGTCAGTGTTCACATTGCAAGTTGCTCCATAAACATACTTATCTACGTTCATGTTATCATAGTGGGTTATAGATCTACTCAGGCTTCTAACTGCATTCCTATAACAATCATTTTCATTATTTACTTCTCTCCTAATATTATTCCTAATGCTAGACACAGTTATACCAAAGTTATATTCTACATTCTCCTTCTGGATACTCTTCTTGGCTAACATATCAACTTTATCATGAAGGAGTAATCCAATGTGTGATGGGATCCATAGCAATTGTACATTAATTCCTTTGTCCCTAATTTTTGAGTATCTATACCTGGCTTCTCCAATGAGCATGTTGTTGGAGTCATTATATGAGTCAAGAGCCTTCAATGATGACATAGAATCAGTAATGATGATAGAGTCAAGCTCAGTGTCATAGGTTAGCTTTAGCGCCATTAGGATTGCAAACAATTCAGTTTGCAGTGTAGACGCCCAGTTGCTAATTCTCATGCCTAACTCAACAAATTTATTATCGTTCTTAACTATGGAGGTGGCAAGAAGACTCCTGTTTTGATCTGCTGGAAGTCCAAGCCCCTCACACACAAAACCTTTACCCCCTCCCTGCAACCTTTCCTAGGCTGACCCTTACTCTGCTTTCCCTTCACTACAGATTTATACATTCTCGAAGTCATTCTATTTTGTTCCATCCTCTCTACATGTCCGAACCACCTCAACAACCCTTCCTCAGCACCACCTCAACAACCCTCTCCTCAGCACCACCTCAACAACTCTCTCCTCAGTACCACCTCAACAACCCTTCCTTAGCATCACCTCCACAACCACTTCTCAGCACCACCTCAACAACCCCTTCTCAGCACCACCTCAACAACCCCTTCTCAGCACCACCTCAATAACCCCTCCTCAGCCCTCTGGACAATACATTTAGTAATCTCATGCCTCCTCCTAATCTCCAAATTACAGATTCTCCACATTATGTTCACACAACACACTGCCCTCAGACATGACATCTACACTGCCTCCAGCCTCCTCCTCCACTGCCTCCAGCCTTCTCCTCCACTGCCTCCAGCCTTCTCCTCCACTGCCTCCAGCCTTCTCCTCCACTGCCTCCAGCCTTCTCCTCCACTGCCTCCAGCCTTCTCCTCCACTGCCTCCAGCCTTCTCCTCCACTGCCTCCAGCCTTCTCCTTGTTGCAACATTCACCACCCATGTTTCACACCCATATAAGAGTGCTGGTATAACTAAACTCTCACACATTCCCTTCTGCTTCCATGGATAAAGTTTATTGTCTCCACAGACTCCTCAGTGCACCACTCATCTTTTTCCCCCACGTCAATTCTGTGATTCACCTCATCTTTGGTAGACCCATCTGCTGACATGTCTCTATTAACATTACTAAATCATACAGTAATTTAATTTAGCGCAAAATTAATTAATGCTAGTTCCCCCCAAACTCTTCAAATCATATAAAAAAAAAAAAAATATGCATGCGAATAGTGCGACTATCTCCCAGGATGTGTTATTGGCACTAATTGTAGGCTTGGCTGAATATGGCAGTTTAAAATGTATGAAATTGAGCCTTATCATACCTGGTTGTTAGGGCTAAACGAGCCTTATCTTACCTGCTTGTTAGGGCTAAATGAGCCTAGGAGTTTCGCTGAATTATAATCCACCTCGAAGACGGAAATTTGGTGACTTCCAAACATTTGGGGTCCGTTGACGGCGAATAATCTCCCACCTGCAAATATAATTCAATTATTGTATAATTCTATAATTATATCAATTCAAACAATGTATTTTTTAAACAATTATAATAATTACTCATAAAAAACATTAATGGAAAGTGAGCAGTGGAGTGAAGGATGGTGAATTCATTTTTTTCTTTGGGATACTATCATCAGGTTGACAAAAAAATTTCTCCAAGGAAGCGCTAAGCCCGTAGGGCCACACACAGGCTGGGGAATGGCTTCCATGTGGCCCTATGGAACAATTATCAATCTATTAAGAATGGCCTCCATGTGGCCCTATGGAACAATTATCAATCTATTAAGAATGGCCTCCATGTGGCCCTATGGAACAATTATCAAACTATTAAGAATGGCCTCCATGTGGCCCTATGGAACAATTATCAATCTATTAAGAATGGCCTCCATGTGGCCCTATGGAACAATTATCAATCTATTAAGAATGGCCTCCATGTGGCCCTATGGAACAATTATCAATCTATTAAGAATGGCCTCCATGTGGCCCTATGGAACAATTATCAATCTATGAAGAATGGCCTCCATGTGGCCCTATGGAACAGTTATCAATCTATTAAGAATGGCCTCCATGTGGCCCTATGGAACAATTATCAATCTATTAAGAATGGCCTCCATGTGGCCCTATGGAACAATTATTAATCTATGAAGAATGGCCTCCATGTGGCCCTATGGAACAATTATCAATCTATTAAGAATGGCCTCCATGTGGCCCTATGGAACAATTATCAATCTATTAAGAATGGCCTCCATGTGGCCCTATGGAACAATTATTAATCTATGAAGAATGGCCTCCATGTGGCCCTATGGAACAATTATCAATCTATTAAGAATGGCCTCCATGTGGCCCTCTGGAACAATTATCAATCTATTAAAAATGGCCTCCATGTGGCCCTATGGAACAATTATCAATCTATGAAGAATGGCCTCCATGTGGCCCTATGGAACAATTATCAATCTATGAAGAATGGCCTCCATGTGGCCCTATGGAACAATTATCAATCTATGAAGAATGGCCTCCATGTGGCCCTATGGAACAATTATCAATCTATGAAGAATGGCCTCCATGTGGCCCTATGGAACAATTATCAATCCATGAAGAATGGCCTCCATGTGGCCCTATGGAACAATTATCAATCTATGAAGAATGGCCTCCATGTGGCCCTATGGAACAATTATCAATCTATGAAGAATGGCCTCCATGTGGCCCTATGGAACAATTATCAATCTATGAAGAATGGCCTCTATGTGGCCCTATGGAACAATTATCAATCTATGAAGAATGGCCTCCATGTGGCCCTATGGAACAATTATCAATCTATGAAGAATGGCCTCCATGTGGCCCTATGGAACAATTATCAATCTATGAAGAATGGCCTCCATGTGGCCCTATGGAACAATTATCAATCTATGAAGAATGGCCTCCATGTGGCCCTATGGAACAATTATCAATCTATGAAGAATGGCCTCCATGTGGCCCTATGGAACAATTATCAATCTATGAAGAATGGCCTCCATGTGGCCCTATGGAACAATTATCAATCTATGAAGAATGGCCTCTATGTGGCCCTATGGAACAATTATCAATCTATGAAGAATGGCCTCCATGTGGTCCTATGGAACAATTATCAATCTATGAAGAATGGCCTCCATGTGGCCCTATGGAACAATTATCAATCTATGAAGAATGGCCTCCATGTGGCTCTATGGAACAATTATCAATCTATGAAGAATGGCCTCCATGTGGCCCTATGGAACAATTATCAATCTATGAAGAATAAAAAAGTACAATAAAATAACTGGAACAATACGTAAATAACCGACATTTTGATCCAACTTGTACCATTAATGGTGTGACCAGTTAGTGGTCCAAGTTGGAGTAAAACGTCATCTCCCATGCACGGGTTGTTTGCACATGTGTGTACCTCGTTAATAAGGCGCTTTGGTTTAGAGCGCTTCGATAATACTGTGCTTAACAATTGAATTCAGATTTATTTAACCCTTTGACTGTCACAACCCCAAATCCTGAGGTGTCTTCTAGTGTCGAGAAATTTTTGAAAAAAAAAAAAGAAGAAAAAATTATTTTTTCTTATGAAATGATAGAGAATCTTTTCCCGATGGTAATGACACCAAAAGAACAAAATTTGATGGAAGACTTATGGAATTACTTTGTGAAGTTAGAGACCTCGGCGATATTTACAAATTGGCGATTTCGCGCATTTTGAGCACTATTTTCAGCTAATTCCATTGTTCCAGTCGACCAAACTCATAGCTATTTCTATAGAACTCCATTTGTTCTATCAATTAGGCACAAGAAACTGCCCATTTACCAATTTCAACTACCCAATAACGTGGTCAGAAATTTGCAATTTGGCCAATTTCATGCAAATTAAAAAATATGACAATTTCAAAATAAGGTCCAGAATGAACAATGCAGACATTCCTGGCTCTAAAATAACATTTTCTTTGTTTATCAGTCACATCTCCAGGCCCCTCTGATATTACTCTTGCTTTCTATTTTGAATTTTTATTCAAACAAAAAATAGATTTACTATTATGCAGACTACTGCAATACTGTAATAATTGTATAAATAACATCAACCCATTCATGACTGCATATTAGAATGGCTAGTTGGACATTTATTGGACAATGACATCATTTGTTTACTTTTGAACATTGGCAAAAATCAAACATTTCCCCTACTTTGAGCTCCATTTCCAGGTTCTTTTTATACTAAAATCAATCAAAATCACCTCTATTTCTATAATATGTTTTCCATTCTATCAAATGAGTCCAAGAAAACGAGAATACAACCATAAATACTATATGAAAATACACCACAAATTCAGCGTTTTAATCCAAAAACACAGTCAGTTTTTTTTTCTCATTATGCACTGCGTGCTGCAGGATTTGTTTTATATGGTGCACACTGACCACAGACCCATTCGCTCACATGTGGGCCTACCAGCTTTCTCCTGTTCGATTTAAAGCAGCGAGAATTTTTGAGTGTATATACGTCAAACACGGTGGTTCGTAAGACGTATATATATACGACCAAAACAGTCATAAGGTTAAAATTTTAATATTTACTAAATGCTGGGCTGTATATAGAAAATACAAAATACTGTAATATTTACCAAACGCCGGAGTGTATGCAGCTGAAAACAAACGGCTGCCCCAGTCGTCGTACTGGAACAGCCTGACAAACTTTCCGCTGGCCGCGGCGAAGCACTGGACTCGTCCATTCTCACGGTCAGCCACACACACCTCCTTGTCGTTGTCAGCCAGCGTCAGTGCGTGAGGGATACTGAAGGTCCCTGGCGTCGCCGTACCCAGTCTTAAACCTGTGTTAAATTATTATTATAATTACTGTTACTACTACTTCAATGTACATAAAAGAGCCAAAAATCTGGAACTTCCGCCTGAAAACTCAAGAACCGCAGATTCAACCAAGATTTTTTCAAAACTACCGTTAAAGATCGTCTTATCCCCCTAACACACCCCATCTTCAGCTAACCAAATGAAAACCACTTAGTTCTCTTTTTTTGTATCACGAAAACATCCAAAACAATATAGTCTGACTCTTGTTATCTGTGATTCCCCCCTAATTTACACTTACACTCACCCAAATAACTGTGAACATAAAATTCCTAATGAAGTTCTTCGAAACTCAAGGTACCACTGCAACACTTTTGTAAGTGCATTTTTGTGGGTTTGAAACAGGCTAATCTAACTTATATTATTCCTTATGGGAACAAATGTGTTCAATAATGGCACTCGAACAGCCTTCTGGAACGAATTAAGTTCATAACTCAAGGTGCCACTGTATAGCTATTGTCAGCTATTGTCTAATAGATCTTAAGTTAGTCCTAAGTTTGCCTGAAATATTCTCCCAATATAGCAGCTTTCATAGAAACAGTGTATAGCAATAACAAATTTCTTTTAGCATAATATATTTACAAAGAAGTGTAAAAATTTGGTGAACCTGACCCCATCATAGTTCAAGGACCACCTGACCCCATCATAGTTCAAGGACCACCTGACCCCATCATAGTTCAAGGACCACCTGACCCCATCATAGTTCAAGGACCACCTGACCCCATCACAGTTCAAGGACCACCTGACCCCATCATAGTTCAAGGAGCACCTGTATTTGTACCCCCTCCTGGGGTCCTCTTCAGATTTAAATGAAAAACATATATTTAATGGCATATAAAATGCACCATCATATAAGACGCACCATCATATAGAGCTCACCCTGAATACGCCATGAAATATAACCCTCATAAGATAAGATTTTGTTCGGATTTTTAACCCCGGAGGGTTAGCCACCCAGGATAACCCAAGAAAGCCAGTGCGTCATCGAGGACTGTAACTTATTTCCATTGGGGTCCTTAATCTTGTCCCCCAGGATGCGACCCACACCAGTCGACTAACACCCAGGTACCTATTTGCTGCTAGGTGAACAGGACAACAGGTGTAAGGAAATGTGTCGAAATGTTTTCACCAGCCGGGAATCGAACCCGGGCCCTCCGTGTGTGAAGCGGGAGCTTTAGCCACGCTTCACACATGGTTTTTAGGACTTGACGTGCTGTTGGAGTGTGAGCAAAGTAACATTCATGAAGAGATTCAGAGAAACCGGCAGGCCGGACTTGAGTCCTGGAGATGGGAAGTACAGTGGACCCCCGGTTAACGAACTTTTTTCATTTCAGTAGTATGTTCAGGTGCCAGTACTGACCGAATTTTTTCCCATAAGGAATATTGTGAAGTAGATTAGTCCATTTCAGACCCCCAAACATACACGTACAAACGCACTTACATAAATACACTTACATAATTGGTCGCATTTGGAGGTGATCGTTAAGCGGGGGTCCACTGTATATCTGACACACCCACACACACGACACACAAGCACACATATATATACACCTGACACACATAGACATAGACATACACATATATAAACCTGACACACACACAGGATGTGGGAGATGATGGAAGGAACTTCGCAGGCCACCAGGCCCCCATTTATTATTTGTTTTAAATTGTCCTTTTTCGTTAAACAGAATTATTCGTAGATCTCAAGTTTGACCCCCTAACCTTGACCCCAATCTTGATCTTCACTGTGAAGGACTCGGGCAATTCCGAGGGTCAGATTCTGAATAAAAAGTGTCTTGTATGGTGCAAAATACATTTTTTCAAGGTGATGACATACCTCCTAGACCGCTGCCACTGGACTTTCCAAACTGGAACAGAAGTTTCCCGTCAGCAGAAAATTTGAGTACTCGAGAGTTGCAGTAGCCGTCGGAGATGAAGAATTCTCCGCTCTGCAAGACAGCAACCCCGGTTGGCTTGCAGAAGTGAGTGTTGTCGCTTCCGGATTCGAATCTGAAAAATAAAAATCATGAATAGATTAGTCTATGTTTTTAAGGACGTGTCTGAAGACTACAGTAGGCCTACTGACCTATACTTAGCCTATATAGCTCATTCATAACTGATCTGTGACGCATTGCCTGCCGAGGTGGGCTGAACTGAAAAAAAGAAGAAACACTGGAACTGTTATTCATTCAGTCACTGTCTCGCCATGACCCTCAGAGGTGCAACACTCCTGCATGTCGTCTAGAGTACAGGCACTGTGCGTCCCACCTCCAGGACTCAAGTCCTGCTAACTAGTTTCTCAAAATACAGAAACTAAATCCCTCCCTTTCTTTCTTTCTAAAAAATACTGTTCACTAACTTTGTTCCAAGTGTTCAGAGAGGTTGTACTTGTACACTAACCTTGTTCCAAGTGTTAGGAGAGGTTGTCCATGACCATAACCAGCCGGGAACTTAAACACCTGGTGCAATCCAACGTCCGTTACCCATATATTGTCTTCCTTGTCCAGGGTTAATCCGTGCGGCATGAAGAAACTGTCGATTAAGGCAGAATTAACAGCAGACATCATAAGCCTCGTGCTTATAGTAATTCCTCAGCCTACGAACACGTTAGGAATTTTCCATATAGTGTATAATAATAATATACGCAATATGTAAGATTCTCAATGTGTTCTTAAGTTGAAGCCATAAGCCCATGATTATGCAGAGCATTTCGGGCAAGCCTAAGCCTAATGTAAGCCAACAATACTGATCATCACAGCTATAAGGTTCAATCCCCGCTAGTTCCATGGGTTTTTTGTAATTGTGCCATTACGATTTTGTGAGTCATTGACAGGAAATCTAAAAAAAAAAACTGATAAGATGTAAGTTATAAGGAATTCACCAAAACATCAGAACCGAGCGGAAGTGTTAACGGAACTTGACAAATTGATAACACAGTAGATGAGACTTACAATAATTACCCAGCATGACAGCAGCAAGACCCTAACTTGTATTCATTTATTGACTTTTCAATACTGCTATGTTTACGTTTTTATTAACACACTGGCTGTTTCCCACCAAGGCAGGGTGACCCAAAAAAAGAGGAAACCCTTTCATCATCACTCACTCCACCACTGTCTTGCCAGAGGTGTGCCTACACTGCAGTTATAAAACTGTAACTTATCAACACCTGTTCTTCGCTGTTTATTTACTCAGTGCGAGTAATTATTTACTCAATTATTTAGTGTATGGGGTTGCAAACCCCAATACAGTAAGTGAAAATCGCTGGCGGGTGAAGAAGTGTGTTTTTTCATTACGGAATGCTTCTAAAACGCTGATGTGTTTACACTATCATATATTAAGTGCTCAATACAGCTAGGCCTAAAAAACAGATAAAAAGATGAAGTAAATACACAGTACATATAATACTCTCCATGGGGAAGTGGAACAGAATTCTTCCTCCGTAAGCCATGCGTGTCGTAAGAGGCGACTAAAATGCCAGGAGCAAGGCGCTAGTAACCCCTTCTCCCTTATAAATTACTAAATTTAAAAGAGAAACTTTCGTTTTTCTTTTTGAGCCACCCCGCCTTGGTGGGATATGGCCGGTGTGTTGAAAGAAGAATATATAATACAGTGGACCCCCGCATAACGATCACCTCCGAATGCGACCAATTATGTAAGTGTATTTATGTAAGTGCGTTTGTACGTGTATGTTTGGGGGTCTGAAATGGACTAATCTACTTCACAATATTCCTTATGGGAACAAATTCGGTCAGTACTGGCACCTGAACATACTTCTGGAGTGAAAAAATATCGTTAACCGGGGGTCCACTGTACTTAAAATATGGTGGTGGTTGCCCTTTCCATATGCAATGTTAGAGCGAAAAATGGCAAAAAAAAAAAAAAAAAAAAAAAAAAAAAAAAAAACCAGTAAAAACACAATGAGAATGTGGAACAGAGAAAATAGACAATGTACAGGTCTCCCTCAACATTAGCGTTTTCAACTTTCGCGGGATTCACACATTCGCGAATTCCTAACCGCCAAATTCCCAGCCACCAAATCATATTTAAGTTTACCGCCAGGAGTCCCTACTACCCTCCCTCCGACCCCCACAACTGGCAGCCAGCCTCCCTCCGACCCCCACAACTGGCAGCCAGCCCTCCCTCCCACCCAACCACAACCTGGCACCACCCTCCCCTCGACCCCCACAATGGCAGCCAGCCCTCCCTCCGACCCCCACAACTGGCAGCCAAACCCTCCTCCGACCCCCACAACTGGCAGCCAGCCCTCCCTCCGACCCCCACAACTGGCAGCCAGCCCTCCCTCCGACCCCCACAACTGGCAGCCAGCCTCCCTCCGACCCCACAACTGGCAGCCAGCCCTCCTCCGACCCCACAACTGGCAGCCAGCCCTCCCCCTGACCCCCACAACTGGCAGCCAGCCCTCCCTCCGACCCCCACAACTGGCAGCCAGCCCTCCCTCCGACCCCCACAACTGGCAGCCAGCCCTCCCTCCGACCCCCACAACTGGCAGCCAGCCCTCCCTCCGACCCCCACAACTGGGGCAGTGCCCTCCTCCGAGCCCCAAACTGGCAGCCCGCCCTCCCTCGACCACCACAACTGGCAGCCAGCCCTCCCTCCACTGTGTGTGTGAGTGTTTGTTTGTTTATTATTTGTATTAAACTACAGTAAAAAATTATGTAAACCCTCCATGACTGCATATTGGAATGGCTATTGGAAGGTATTGGACGGTGACATCATGTGGTTTACTCTTGAACACAGCAAAGAATCAAACATTTTGTGCTACTGCTAATAATTTAATAATACGATTATAATTGAAGAAGGAATATTGACAAATACGAGGGTTGAAGCAGTGGTGGAGGAGTGGTTGACGCAGCGTCAATGTGACTTTGTTTATGGCTGGAGTGAAGACTTAGTCACGTGGGTCTTCCAAACATTTAACAATAATTTATTAGTGTTTGGTGCTTGTAGATTGAGTGTGACTGGAGTGGTTGAGGCAGTGGGGAGAGGCAGTGGTAGAGGCAGTGGTAGAGGCAGTGATAGAGGCAGTGGTAGAGGAAGTGGTAGAGGCAGTGGCAGAGGCAGTGATAGAGGCAGTGGGTGAGGCAGTGGTAGAGGCAGAGGCAGTGGTAGAGGCAGTGGCAGAGGCAGTGGTAGAGGCAGTGGCAGAGGCAGTGGTAGAGGCAGTGGCAGAGGCAGTGATAGAGGCAGTGGGTGAGGCAGTGGTAGAGGCAGTGGTAGAGGCAGTGGTAGATGCAGTGGTAGAGGCAGTGGTAGAGGCAGTGGTAGAGGCAGTGGTAGAGGCAGTGGTAGAGGCAGTGGTAGAGGCAGTGATAGAGGCAGTGGTAGAGGCAGTTATAGAGGCAGTGGTAGAGGCAGTGGTAGAGGCAGTGGTAGAGGCAGTGATAGAGGCAGTGGTAGAGGCAGTGATAGAGGCAGTGGTAGAGGCAGTGGTAGAGGCAGTGGTAGAGGCAGTGGTAGAGGCAGTTATAGAGGCAGTGGTAGAGGCAGTGGTAGAGGCAGTGGTAGAGGCAGTGGTAGAGGCAGTGATAGAGGCAGTGGTAGAGGCAGTGATAGAGGCAGTGGTAGAGGCAGTGATAGAGGCAGTGGTAGAGGCAGTGGTAGAGGCAGTGGTAGAGGCAGTTATAGAGGCAGTGGTAGAGGCAGTGGTAGAGGCAGTGATAGAGGCAGTGGTAGAGGCAGTGGTAGAGGCAGTGATAGAGGCAGTGATAGAGGCAGTGATAGAGGCAGTGGTAGAGGCAGTGGTAGAGGCAGTGGTAGTGGTAGTGGTAGAGGCAGTGGTAGAGGCAGTGATAGAGGCAGTGGTAGAGGCAGTGGTAGAGGCAGTTATAGAGGCAGTGGTAGAGGCAGTGGTAGAGGCAGTGGTAGAGGCAGTGATAGAGGCAGTGGTAGAGGCAGTGATAGAGGCAGTGGTAGAGGCAGTGATAGAGGCAGTGGTAGAGGCAGTGGTAGAGGCAGTGGTAGAGGCAGTGATAGAGGCAGTGGTAGAGGCAGTGGTAGAGGCAGTGATAGAGGAAGTGGTAGAGGCAGTGGGTGAGGCCTCTACCACTGCCTCTACCACTGCTTCTATCACTGCCTCTACCACTGCCTCTATCACTGCCTCTACCACTGCTTCTACCACTGCCTCTACCACTGCCTCTACCACTGCCTCTACCACTGCCTCTACCACTGCCTCTACCACTGCCTCACCCACTGCCTCTACCACTGCCTCACCCACTGCCTCTACCACTGCCTCAATCACTGCCTCTACCACTGCCTCTACCACTGCCTCTACCACTGCCTCTACCACTGCCTCACCCACTGCCTCACCCACTGCCTCACCCACTGCCTCTATCACTGCCTCTACCACTGTCTCTGCCACTGCCTCTATCACTGCCTCTACCACTGCCTCTACCACTGCCTCTACCACTGCCTCACCCACTGCCTCTGCCACTGCCTCTACCACTGCCTCTATCACTGCCTCTATCACTGCCTCTACCACTGCCTCTGCCACTGCCTCTACCACTGCCTCTACCACTGCCTCTACCACTGCCTCTACCACTGCCTCACCCACTGCCTCTACCACTGCCTCTACCACTGCCTCTACCACTGCCTCACCCACTGTCTCTACCACTGCCTCTACCACTGCCTCACCCACTGCCTTTACCACTGCCTCTACCACTGCCTCTATCACTGCCTCTACCACTGTCTCTACCACTGCCTCTACCACTGCCTCTATCACTGCCTCTACCACTGCCTCTACCACTGCCTCTATCACTGCCTCTACCACTGCCTCTACCACTGCCTCTACCACTGCCTCTACCACTGCCTCTACCACTGCCTCTACCACTGCCTCTACCACTGCCTCTATCACTGCCTCTGCCACTGCCTCTGCCACTGCCTCTACCACTGCCTCTACCACTGCCTCTATCACTGCCTCTACCACTGCCTCTGCCACTGCCTCTACCACTGCCTCTACCACTGTTTCTATCACTGCCTCTACCACTGCCTCTACCACTGCCTCTACCACTGCCTCTACCACTGCCTCTACCACTGCCTCTATCACTGCCTCTGCCACTGCCTCTACCACTGCCTCACCCACTGCCTCTATCACTGCCTCTATCACTGCCTCTACCACTGCCTCTGCCACTGCCTCTACCACTGCCTCTACCACTGCCTCTATCACTGCCTCTACCACTGCCTCTACCACTGCCTCTACCACTGCATCTACCACTGCCTCTACCACTGCCTCTACCACTGCCTCACCCACTGCCTCTATCACTGCCTCTGCCACTGCCTCTACCACTGCCTCTGCCACTGCCTCTACCACTGCCTCTGCCACTGCCTCTACCACTGCCTCTGCCTCTACCACTGCCTCACCCACTGCCTCTATCACTGCCTCTGCCACTGCCTCTACCACTTCCTCTACCACTGCCTCTATCACTGCCTCTACCACTGCCTCTACCACTGCCTCTACCACTGCCTCAACCACTCCAGTCACACTCAATCTACAAGCACCAAACACAATAAATTATTGTTAAATGTTTGGAAGAGCACGGAGACTAATGTTCACTCCAGCATAAACAAAGTCACATTGACGCTGCGTCAACCACTTCCTCCACCACTGCTTCAACCCTCGTATTTTTGTACAATTTCCTTCTTCAATTATATCGTATTATTATTATTATTAGCAGTAGCACAAATGTTTGATTCTTTGCTGTGTTCAAGAGTAAACACATGATGTCACCGTCCAATACCTGTCCGAATAGCCATTCCAATATGCAGTCATGGATGGGTTTACATTATTTATACTGTAGTTTAATAGCAAATAATAAACAAACAAAACACTCACCACACAGTGGAGGGAGGGCTGGCTGCCAGTTGTGGGGGTCGGAGGGAGGGCTGGCTGCCAGTTGTGGGGGTCGGAGGGAGGGCTGGCTGCCAGTTGTGGGGGTCGGAGGGAGGGCTGGCTGCCAGTTGTGGGGGTCGGAGGGAGGGCTGGCTGCCAGTTGTGGGGGTCGGAGGGAGGGTAGTAGGGACTGGCAGTGGTTGAGGCAGTGGTATTTAAGAACATACATGTTATTAAGGCATAACATATGTATTTAGTACAATTTACGACGTTTTCATGTATTTTTATGATTGTTCATGGTTCAACAAGTTAAGGAAGCAGTATTGTATTACATTTCCCTACAATATATTGGGGTACCAAACATTCACGATTTTTCAACATTCGCGAGGCTCTTGATGCCCTAACCCTCGTGAATGTTGAGGGAGACGTGTACACGTGGGGCTTCGTGTACAAGGTTAGTGGCTATATATGTTATGTTACTATACATTTTGTTTACACACTTGCGATAACAGGTATGTTTTGTTATTTTTACTTACACTGAGGTCACACATGCATGTACAAGCATATACAGTGGACCCCCGCTTTATGATCACCTCCCAATGCAACCAATTATGTAAGTGCGTTTGTACGTGTATGTTTGGGGGTCTGAAATGGACTAATCTAATTCACAATATTCCTTATGGGAACAAATTCGTTCAGTACTGGCACCTGGACATACTTCTGGAATGAAATAATATCGTAAACCGGGGTCCACTCTATATATACACACTCCTCGGGGTTTTCTTCTTTTTCTTACTAGTTCTTGTTCTTGTTTATTTCCTCTTATCTCCATGGGGAAGTGGAACAGAATTCTTCCTCTGTAAGCTATGCTTGTAACCCCTTCTCCTGTATACATTACTAAATTTAAAAAGAAAAATGGTCGGTTCATAAAAAAAAAAAAAAAATATTGCCATACATATTATGTTGACATACATGTGTTATATTGCCATAAAAGAGGAATGTAATATTTAGTGCAGACTCACAAGTTATCTCCCCACTTGTGTAGGATGCTGCCAGCATCCTTGCTGAGGAGCAGCAGTGTATGTTGGGTGATGGGGTTGACCTTGTCCCTCAGGTTGTTGCCTATGAAGGTGGAGCCGTCCCAGGAGCGTTCCCCCCGGTGGAAGACCAGCACATCGCCGTGTGTGTCGATACCCACCGCCACCACCTGGCCGTACCTCACCTCCTTCTGGCCCCAGTTTCGTATCAAGCGATACGCTGGAATTGAGGAGAGCCAATGAGGTTAATATTTTGTATTCAACAATAGACTGGAATTAACAAAGGGTTATATAGTTAACATTTGATATATGTACAGTAAGTCCTTGACTTACATGTTGAGAATTTACTGTATCGTGTACATCATTATTATTCACAATATAGTTCCCCAACGTGTTTAAGTTGAGAATTTCTTGTACCAAATTTAGAAAAAATCGCACTGTACAAAAGAGTGATCAGGCTTGTACCTGACTGCTTCGGCGGCTTGTTGTCTTTCGGAGCTTGGCTCAAGACAGGCTCTAGGGTGTCATGATTCATCTGGCGACCCTGAGGAACCTGCGGCGACTGCGGCAAGTTGCTGCTGCCATCGTCGTAGGTGCTGAAAGTGGCCGGCTTCACCTGGTATCTGTTATCTAGAAAAAGAAGAACTGGTGAAATAACGACTGGAAGACAATGAAATTTTCTTGAAACAATATGTGGCTCTGTACAGAGCTTCATAAAGCTCTGTGCACAGCATTATATAAAGCTGTACCAACAAGATGAAAAAATAAACACATGCAGAACAACCACTGGGAAAAATTAGTGAAATTCCAAGTGCTTTCATGATTTATCACATTATCAAGGAACAGTTCCTTGATAATGTGATAGATCACATTATCAAGGAACAGTTCCTTGATAATGTGATAGATCACAAAAGCGCTTAGAATTTCACTAATTTTTCACAGTGGTTGTTCTGCATGTGTTTTCACAGTGGTTGTCCTGCATGTGTTTTCACAGTGGTTGTCCTGCATGTGTTTTCATAGTGGTTGTCCTGCATATTGTGATATCACCTGTTTACTGTGATCTTATTACATCGATTAGACACTTGTCACATCCAGTGACAATGCCATCGTCTGCTGCGCGTCCCTCGTCTGATGCCAGTATGTAAGCGCCAATCTTCCTGCCAGTGCCTCGGATTCTTCAAGACTACGGTGTTCTTCACCAACTCCAAGACTGAGGGACTGATTACCTCATCTTTTGTATGTAGTTCTAAAGTCTTCACATTATGTCCTTGTATTGATAAAGCCACTGGATGGCAAAACGTCTACAAATAAAGATACCCAGATGTTGCATGTGTGCCTAATTCTTATTGGTGTTACTTACCGCATGTGTACAACAGTTTCCCGATTACAACCTCCCCCATTACAGTGTCCCTCATTACAGCCTCCCCCATTACAGTCCCCCCATTACATTACAAGAATTTCATATTACGTGACATCAAATTTCTCTGGGTAATTCAGTACAGTTAATAAAATTTATGGCGGTATTTTATTGCAAACATCTATGTAAAGTTGTGCAGTCAGGAATGCAATCAACATGACACTCGAGAGTGCTTAATATAGCATGCAAACACCTAGGATGAGCCAAAAAAAACACCTATGATTTAGTACAACAAACACCTAGGATGAGCCAAAAAAAACACCTATGATTTAGTACAACAAACACCTAAGATGAGCCAAAAAAAAACCTATGATTTAGTACAATAAACACCTAGGATGAACCAAAAAACACCTATGATTTAGTACAATAAACACCTAGGATGAACCAAAAAACACCTATGATTTAGTACAATAAACACCTAGGATGAACCAAAAAAAACACCTATGATTTAGTACAATAAACACCTAGGATGAACCAAAAAAAAACACCTATGATTTAGTACAATAAACACCTAGGATGAACCAAAAAAAAACACCTATGATTTAGTACAATAAACACCTAGGATGAACCAAAAAAAAAACCTATGATTTAGTACAATAAACACCTAGGATGAGCCAAAAAAAAACACCTATGATTTAGTACAATAAACACTTAAGATAGACCAAATTAAACACCTAGTGTAACTAGTCAATGATGCAAATGAAAATGACCCAAACATTGTCATAAGTTTGAGTCTCTCGTGTGAATGTTATTCGTGTGTTGTTCCAGCCACAGTATTGCAACTTTATTCTACATACAAACATAAAAAAAAAGAATCTATGTAAAAGATAAAGAATCTATATAACACAAAATGATAGTTGTCACAGTTGCTCTTTGCTGATGACACTGTGCTTTTGGCAGATTCTGAAATTACAGAGGTTGGTGGATGAATTTGGTAGGGGATGTGAAAGATGGAAATTAAAAGTGAATATAAGAAAGAGTAAGGTTATGAGGATAACAAAAAGATTAGGTGACAAAAGTTTGGATATTTGAATCTATTCAGATATTTAGGAGTGGACGTGTCAGCGGATGGGTCTATGAAAGATGAGGTGAATCACAGAATTGATGAGGGGAAAAAGGTGATTGATGCAGTGAGGAGTCTGTGGAGACAAAGAACTTTGTCCGTGGAAGCGAAGAGGGGAATGTATGAGAGTATAGTTGTACCAACACTCTTGTATGGGTGTGAAGCATGGGTGATGAATGTTGCAATGAGGAGAAGGCTGGAGGCAGTGGAGATGTCATGTCTGAGAGCAATGTGTGGTGTGAATATAATGCAGAGAATTCGTAGTTTGGAAATTAGGAGGAGGTGCGGGATTACCATAACTATTATCCAGAGGGCTGAGGAGAGATTGTTGAGATGGTTCAGACATGTTGAGAGGATGGAAGAAAATACAAGTACCATCTGACTTATGACCAAGCTTGGTTCTGACCAACCGGTCGTAAATCAAAATGGACACAAGTGGAACCTTAGAAAATTGCTGACATACTGGGTAGGGCATAAAGTCAAACCTTTGCTATATAAAGTGCCTACGTAGTCTCATATGTTACTGTTTACTAAATATTTTACTAATGTATATGCTGCCAGACGTATGATCATAAGTATGAGTGGTCATATGTTGAGCAGGTCATAAGTATGAGTGGTCATATGTCGAGCAGGTCGTAAGTTAGATGGTACTTGTAGAATGACTTCGAGAGTGTATAAATCTTTAGTGGATGGATGGCGGGGTAGAGGTCAGCCTAGGAAAGGTTCAAGGTTTTGTGTGCGAGGGGCTTGGACTTCCAGTAAGCATGCGTGAGTGTGTTAGATAGGAGCGAATGGAGACAAATGATTTTTAGAACCTCACATGCTGTTGAAGTGTAAACAAAGTAACATTTATGAAGGGGTTCAGGGAAACCAGCATTTTAAAGGAGGGATCTGGGATATTGACAGTTTGGAGGGATATGTTATATATCTTTATACATGTATATGCTTCTAAACTGTTGTATCTGAGCACCTCTGCAAAAACAGTGATTATGTGTGAGTGAGGTGAAAGTGTTGAATGATGATGAAAGTATTTTCTTTTTGGGGATTTTCTTTCTTTTTGGGTCACCCTGCCTCGGTGGGTCACCCTGCCTCGGTGGGTCACCCTGCCTCGGTGGGAGATGGCCGACTCGTTGGAAAAAAAAATATTATACACAATACAGAAGTTTCTCAACCTGTTCGTAAGTCGAGGAGTTGCTGTGCCTGTTTTTTTTGTGTTTTACGTATGGCGACAGTGGAGCATGCACTACACTACGTACGTACAGAAAATGTGCGAGAAATAAACAAAATTCTAAAAAATTTAGCAAACGAAAAAGGGGTCATTAATGTAAAGGCTCGAAAACATGCCATAAAAAAAGGCCAACATCAATAAACTGAATGCAAAAAAGACAAGAGTTATTTATCACATTATTAGTGGTGTATAATACACACTGGTTGATGTATAAGACGTGTGCAACACTTTTGTTGCATACACGTCTTATTCATCAACTGCCTGCATAGTCAACCATCAATACGATGATAATCTTCGTTCAGCCTAAACTACCATGCACATCAACGACTAAGCTCAACAAACAGCCACACAGAAGGCAAATGGAAGCCAAATGGAACTAAACAGAAACCAAAAGGAAACTAAACCAAAAACAAATGGAAAGCAAACGGATACCAAACGGGAGCCAGATACCAAACAGAAGTCAAACAGAGACCAAATGGAAGCCAAGTGGAACCAAACAAAAACCATATGGATACCAAATAGAAACCATAAGGTAACCAAACAGAAGCCAAATACAAGCCTCGACTAGCCCCCCTTAACCCCCCACACCTCTGTAACCTCCGAAGTCGCCAATAACCTGCGAACCCCAGCCATCGTCTGCTGTGCCCACCTGCTGACGGAAGCTGTAGTCTGCGTCATCGTAGTTCGTGTAGCCATAACCTGCCAGGGGAGCCGTTTGTGCCAGAAAAAACGTAAACATCGGAGATTACCGAAATGATGCATTGAGTGTTTTAACCTATTTTTTGAGGGGTTATTTTGAATTATTATTAAACTAATATTATAATTATTATTACTATTACAATTATAATACTTATAATAATTATACATGTATTATAATAATTATACACTAATAATAGTAATCATAATATATATTTGTTATTATAATGATTATAATTATATTTTATTTATATTTTTATTATAATTTATATTATTATTACTATTATTATCTTAAATGTCATGTCCCGCCAAGTCAGGGTGACACAAAGAAAAAACATTCACCATTATTCACTCTGCAGCTGCGTCACCAGACACACATGGGATCCAGACAACAAGATACGGAGACAAGACATGTACTGTATATGATTGGGACAAGACGTGTACTGTACCTGGCTGAGACAAGATGCGTACTGTACCTGGCTGGGACAAGATGTGTACTGTACCTGGCTGGGACAAGATGTGTACTGTACCTGGCTGGGACAAGATTTGTACTGTACCTGGCTGGGACAAGATGTGTACTGTACCTGGCTGGGACAAGATGCGTACTGTACCTGGCTGGGACAGATGTGTACTGTACCTGGCGGGACAAGATTTGTGCTGTACCTGGTTGGGACAAGATTTGTACTGTACCTAGCTGGGACAAGATGTGTACTGTACCTAGCTGGGACAAGATTTGTACTGTACCTGGCTGGGACAAGATGCGTACTGTACCTGGCTGGGACAAGATGCGTACTGTACCTGGCTGGGACAAGACGTGTACTGTACCTGGCTGAGACAAGATGCGTACTGTACCTGGCTGGGACAAGATGTGTACTGTACCTGGCTGGGGCCCAAAATGCAATACTGTACCTGGCTGGGGCAAGATGTGTACTGTACCTGGCTGGGACAAGATGTGTACTGTACCTGGCTGGGACAAGATGTGTACTGTACCTGGCTGGGACAAGATGTGTACTGTACCTGGCTGGGACAAGATGCATACTGTACCTGGCTGGGACAAGATTTTGTACTGTACCTGGCTGGGACAAGATGCATACTGTACCTGGCTGGGACAAGATGTGTACTGTACCTGGCTGGGACAAGATGTGTACTGTACCTGGCTGGGACAAGATGTGTACTGTACCTGGCTGGGACAAGATGTGTACTGTACCTGGCTGGGACAAGTGTGTACTGTACCTGGCTGGGACAAGATGCGTACTGTACCTGGCTGGGACAAGATGTGTACTGTACCTGGCTGGGGCAAGATGCGTACTGTACCTGGCTGGGACAAGATGTGTACTGTACCCGGCTGGGGCAAGATGTGTTACTGTACCGGCTGGGACAAGACAAATACTGTACCTGACAGATAAGATGTGTACTGTACCTGGCTGGGACAAGATTTGTACTGTACCTGGCTGGGACAAGATGCATACTGTACCTGGCTGGGACAAGATGCGTACTGTACCTGGCTGGGACAAGATGTGTACTGTACCTGGCTGGGACAAGATGCATACTGTACCTGGCTGGGACAAGATGTGTACTGTACCTGGCTGGGACAAGACAAATACTGTACCTGACAGACAAGAGGTGTACTGTACCTGGCTGGAACAAGATGTGTACTGTACCTGGCTGGGACAAGATGTGTACTGTACCTGGCTGGGACAAGATGCATACTGTACCTGGCTGGGACAAGATGTGTACTGTACCTGGCTGGGACAAGATGCATACTGTACCTGGCTGGGACAAGATGTGTACTGTACCTGGCTGGGACAAGATGTGTACTGTACCTGGCTGGGACAAGATGTGTACTGTACCTGGCTGGGACAAGACAAATACTGTACCTTACAGACAAGAGGTGTACTGTACCTGGCTGGGACAAGATGTGTACTGTACCTGGCTGGGACAAGATGTGTACTGTACCTGGCTGGGACAAGATGTGTACTGTACCTGGCTGGGACAAGATGCATACTGTACCTGGCTGGGACAAGACAAATACTGTACCTGACAGACAAGATGTGTACTGTACCTGGCTGGGACAAGATGCATACTGTACCTGGCTGGGACAAGACAAATACTGTACCTGACAGACAAGATGTGTACTGTACCTGGCTGGAACAAGATGTGTACTGTACCTGGCTGGGACAAGATGTGTACTGTACCTGGCTGGGACAAGATGTGTACTGTACCTGGCTGGGACAGGATGTGTACTGTACCTGGCTGGGACAAGATGCGTACTGTACCTGGCTGGGACAAGATGTGTACTGTACCTGGCTGGGACAAGATGTGTACTGTACCTGGCTGGGACAAGATGCGTACTGTACCTGGCTGGGACAAGATGTGTACTGTACCTGGCTGGGACAAGATGTGTCTGTACCTGGATGGGACAAGATGCCGTACTGTAAACCCGGTGGGACAAGATTTTTGTACTTACCTGGCTGGGACAAGATGTGTACTGTACCTGGCTGGACAAGATGTGTACTGTTTCCTGGCTGGGACAAGATGTGTACTGTACCTGGCTGGGACAAGATGTGTACTGTACCTGGCTGGGACAAGATGTGTACTGTACCTGGCTGGGACAAGATGTGTACTGTACCTGGCTGGGACAAGATGTGTACTGTACCTGGCTGGGACAAGACAAATACTGTACCTGGCTGGGACAAGACAAATACTGTACCTGGCTGGGGGTCCTTGCGCGAGTGACCTTTCTTCTCTAACTCAACGGAACTGTCTTCTACAGCATTGTAGGTGTAGGCTGTCTCCTGGAAAATACAATGCTTGTATTCTACTAGGTGTATTGTTATGCAGTGCTGTAAAATAGATTGGTTGGTTAATGGGGTTTAAAGTCTATCTACTACACCAGGGTCATTAAGACTGGTTGGTTGGTTAATGGGGTTTAAAGTCTATCTACTACACCAGGGTCATTAAGACTGGTTGGTTGGTTAATGAGGTTTAAAGTTTTATCTACTACACCAGGGTCATTAAGACTGGTTGGGTTTGGTTTTAAAGGGGTTTAAAAGTCTATCTACTACACCAGGGTCATTAAGACTGGTTGGTTGGGTTTAAAGGGTTTAAAGTCTATTCCCACTACACCAGGGTCATTAAGACTGGTTGGTTGGTTAATGGGGTTTAAAGTCTATCTACTACACCAGGGTCATTAAGACTGGTTGGTTGGTTAATGGGGTTTAAAGTCTATCTACTACACCAGGGTCATTAAGACTGGTTGGTTGGTTAATGGGTTTTAAAGTTTATCTACTACATGAGGGTCATTAAGGTCAATTGGTTAATATTTTGGTGCAAAATATAGTGTAAACTCAAAGCATTCTGTTATGCGTTCTTACATCCTCAATTGCTTGCACCAATCACTGACTCACCTTCTGTGTATTTTCGCCTTGAGCATGCTCCTCCAGCAGCGGATTGGGCGGCAGTGGAACGTCGCTGTCCGCCGGAAGGTTGTGAGTGATGACGGGAAAGTTCTCGTAGCCGCAGCCTCCCGTCTCTGACCCCTGGTCACGGTCGGTGTAGTACATGAGGTACAGGTTGCACATCTCGTCACCGGCCGTGCTGCCTGGCCGGGATAAACACACAGCAAACGTGAGAATGTGCAAATCTTTTTTTTTTAAATGGTAAGTAAATCGCTCAACCATAAATACGTATGTCCTCAACTTACGGTGGTTCAGGTTACGATGGTTCGACTTATGGTGATTCGACTTACGGTGGTTCAACTTGTGGTGGCTCAACTTATGATGGTTCAACTTACGTTTTCAACTTACGATGGGTTCTTAGGAATGTAACCCCATCATAGGTCGAGGCCCTCCTGTGTTTACTTACTCTCGTTATCGGTAATCCTAAAAACAATTAAACATGATTAATTTGTTAAAAAATGTGTTAATATGCTAAGCAATATCTCAACCATAAACACGTCAAGAACCATAATAATAATTATCCGTTTATTTGTTCTCCTTGTAAGTCCTAAACTCGTTTTTTATATATCCATAATGCCCTTATATATAAGTAATTAGTTAATACCACTGTAGTGGTATTAACTAATTGCTTATATGTTTGTCTGAAATGCTCTGCATAACTATGGGTTTTCCGAATGCCTGCGTAAATGTCACTCATCTATGTATGAACATTGTATTGTGCAAATAAATTATTATTAATATTATTATTATTATTATGACACTGCGGTAGCCTGGTTGATGAGGCCCTGATCCACCAAGAAGTCTGGTCAAGGAATGGGCTGCAGGGGTGATGACCCCTGGAACAACCTCCAGGTAGGTCTACTGGCCTATACTTGTCAGGATCCTCTCAAATGCGACCACTCTCACTCAAAAAATTTCTCAAAAATATCCTTAAAGGTACCCAGGGTTAAAGGTACCCAGGGTTAAAGGTACCCAGGGTTAAAGGTACTCAGGGTTAAAGGTACCCAGGGTTAAAGGTACCCAGGGTTAAAGGTACCCAGGGTTAAAGGTACCCAGGGTTAAAGGTTCCCAGGGTTAAAGGTATCCAGGGTTAAGGTATCCAGGGTTAAGGTACCCAGGGTTAAGGTACCCAGGGTTAAAGCCTCTACAGCGTTTCTAACCTGTACTTTACACGTCCATTCAAATCCAACCACTCACTGATTTATATAATCTGTAGCAGAGCCCCCATATACATGGATTTGGTATCCGTGGTTTCAGTATCCAGAGTTCACTGCAGCCCTTAAATCCTTAATTTTGCTAAATAATGGCATCAAAGTACAGCAGTGATGGTGGCAGTTCTTAAGAGTCTAAGAACATAAGAAAGAAGGAACACTGCAGCAGGCTTACTGGCCCATGTGAGGCAGGTCCAATTCTCCCACCAGCTTAAGCCAATGCTTTAACCTAGTTAGATCTGTCACATTCACTTCAGGGAGGCAGACAGCATCTGCCCTAGTAGCACAAGCTAGTCAGGTCCAATTCACACCCACTCATGTATTTATCCAACCTATTTTTAAAACTGCACATCTTAGCTTCTATAACTGTACTTGGGAGTTTGTTCCACTCATCCACAACTCTATTACCAAACCAGTACTTTCCTATATCCTTCCTGAATCTGAATTTTTCCAACTTAAAACCATTGCTGCGAGTCCTGTCTAGGCTAGATATTTTTAGCACACTATTTACATTTTTTTTTTTATTATCACACTGGCCGATTCCCACCAAGGCAGGGTGGCCCGAAAAAGAAAAACTTTCACCATCATTCACTCCATCACTGTCTTGCCAGAAGGGTGCTTTACACTACAGTTTTTAAACTGCAACATTAACACCCCTCCTTCAGAGTGCAGGCACTGTACTTCCCATCTCCAGGACTCAAGTCCGGCCTGCCGGTTTCCCTGAACCCCTTCATAAATGTTACTTTGCTCACACTCCAACAGCATGTCAAGTATTAAAAACCATTTGTCTCCATTCACTCCTATCAAACACGCTCACGCATACCTGCTGGAAGTCCAAGCCCCTCGCACACAAAACCTCCTTTACCCCCTCTCTCTAACCTTTCCTAGGCTGACCCCTACCCCGCCTTCCTTCCACTACAGACTGATACACTCTTGAAGTCATTCTGTTTCGCTGCATTCTCTCTACATGTCCGAACCACCTCAACAACCCTTCCTCAGCACTCTGGACAACAGTTTTGGTAATCCCGCACCTCCTCCTAACTTCCAAACTACGAATTCTCTGCATTATATTCACACCACACATTGAAGAGAAGTTGCAGAGATTGGTGGATGAATTTGGTAGGGTGTGCAAAAGAAGAAAATTAAAGGTGAATACAGGAAAGAGTAAGGTTATGAGGATAACAAAAAGATTAGGTGATGAAAGATTGAATATCAGATTGGAGGGAGAGAGTATGGAGGAGGTGAACGTATTCAGATATTTGGGAGTGGACGTGTCAGCGGATGGGTCTATGAAAGATGAGGTGAATCATAGAATTGATGAGGGAAAAAGAGTGAGTGGTGCACTTAGGAGTCTGTGGAGACAAAGAACTTTGTCCTTGGAGGCAAAGAGGGGAATGTATGAGAGTATAGTTTTACCAACGCTCTTATATGGGTGTGAAGCGTGGGTGATGAATGTTGCAGCGAGGAGAAGGCTGGAGGCAGTGGAGATGTCATGCCTGAGGGCAATGTGTGGTGTGAATATAATGCAGAGAATTCGTAGTTTGGAAGTTAGGAGGAGGTGCGGGATTACCAAAACTGTTGTCCAGAGGGCTGAGGAAGGGTTGTTGAGGTTGGTTCGGACATGTAGAGAGAATGGAGCGAAACAGAATGACTTCAAGAGTGTATCAGTCTGTAGTGGAAGGAAGGCGGGGTAGGGGTCGGCCTAGGAAGGGTTGGAGGGAGGGGGTAAAGGAGGTTTTGTGTGCGAGGGGCTTGGACTTCCAGCAGGCATGTGTGAGCGTGTTTGATAGGAGTGAATGGAGACAAATGGTTTTTAATACTTGACGTGCTGTTGGAGTGTGAGCAAAGTAACATTTATGAAGGGATTCAGGGAAACCGGCAGGCCGGACTTGAGTCCTGGAGATGGGAAGTACAGTGCCTGCACTCTGAAGGAGGGGTGTTAATGTTGCAGTTTAAAAACTGTAGTGTAAAGCACCCTTCTGGCAAGACAGTGATGGAGTGAATGATGGTGAAAGTTTTTCTTTTTCGGGCCACCCTGCCTTGGTGGGAATCGGCCGGTGTGATAATAAATAAAAAAAAACATTGCCCTCAGACATGACATCTCCACTGCCTCCAGCCTTCTCCTCGCTGCAACATTCATCACCCATGCTTCACACCCATATAAGAGCGTTGGTAAAACTATACTCTCATACATTCCCCTCTTTGCCTCCAAGGACAAAGTTCTTTGTCTCCACAGACTCCTAAGTGCACCACTCACTCTTTTCCCCTCATCAATTCTATGATTCACCTCATCTTTCATAGACCCATCCGCTGACACGTCCACTCCCAAATATCTGAATACATTCACCTCCTCCATATCTCTCTCCCTCCAATCTGATATTCAATCTTTCATCACCTAATCTTTTTGTTATCCTCATAACCTTACTCTTTCCTGTATTCACCTTTAATTTTCTTCTTTTGCACACCCTACCAAATTCATCCACCAATCTCTGCAACTTCTCTTCAGAATCTCCCAAGAGCACAGTGTCATCGGCAAAGAGCAGCTGTGACAACTCCCACTTTGTGTGTGATTCTTTATCTTTTAACTCCACGCCTCTTGCCAAGACCCTCGCATTTACTTCTCTTACAACCCCATCTATAATATATTAAACAACCACGGTGACATCACACATCCTTGTCTAAGGCCTACTTTTACTGGGAAAAAATTTCCCTCTTTCCTACATACTCTAACTTGAGCCTCACTATCCTCGTAAAAACTCTTCACTGCTTTCAGTAACCTACCTCCTACACCATACACTTGCAACATCTGCCACATTGCCCCCTATCCACCCTGTCATATGCCTTTTCCAAATCCATAAATGCCACAAAGACCTCTTTAGCCTTTATCTAAATACTGTTCACTTATATGTTTCACTGTAAACACCTGGTCCACACACCCCCTACCTTTCCTAAAGCCTCCTTGTTCATCTGCTATCCTATTCTCTGTCTTACTCTTAATTCTTTCAATAATAACTCTACCATACACTTTACCAGGTATACTCAACAGACTTATCCCCCTATAATTTTTGCACTCTCTTTTATCCCCTTTGCCTTTATACAAAGGAACTATGCATGCTCTCTGCCAATCCCTAGGTACCTTACCCTCTTCCATACATTTATTAAATAATTGCACCAACCACTCCAAAACTATATCCCCACCTGCTTTTAACATTTCTATTTTTATCCCATCAATCCCGGCTGCCTTACCCCCTTTCATTTTACCTACTGCCTCACGAACTTCCCCCACACTCACAACTATTTACATCCCCTTTATTAATTCCTGCTAACCATTTATACACCTCAATCATATCCCACCTAATTCTACGCCTTTCTATAGAGTGCAGATTCAGGGCCTCAGTCTATCCTCATAGTGCAGATTCAGGGCCTCAGTCTATCCTCATAGTGCAGATTCAGGGCCTCAGTCTATCCTCTTAGTGCAGATTCAGGGCCTCAGTCTATCCTCATAGTGCAGATTCAGGGCCTCAGTCTATCCTCATAGTGCAGATTCAGGGCCTCAGTCTATCCTCATAGTGCAGATTCAGGGCCTCAGTCTATCCTCATAGTGCAGATTCAGGGCCTCAGTCTATCCTCATAGTGCAGATTCAGGGCCTCAGTCTATCCTCATAGTGCAGATTCAGGGCCTCAGTCTATCCTCATAGTGCAGATTCAGGGCCTCAGTCTATCCTCATAGTGCAGATTCAGGGCCTCAGTCTATCCTCATAGTGCAGATTCAGGGCCTCAGTCTATCCTCATAGTGCAGATTCAGGGCCTCAGTCTATCCTCATAGTGCAGATTCAGGGCCTCAGTCTATCCTCATAGTGCAGATTCAGGGCCTCAGTCTATCCTCATAGTGCAGATTCAGGGCCTCAGTCTATCCTCATAGTGCAGATTCAGGGCCTCAGTCTATCCTCATAGTGCAGATTCAGGGCCTCAGTCTATCCTCATAGTGCAGATTCAGGGCCTCAGTCTATCCTCATAGTGCAGATTCAGGGCCTCAGTCTATCCTCATAGTGCAGATTCAGGGCCTCAGTCTATCCTCATAGTGCAGATTCAGGGCCTCAGTCTATCCTCATAGTGCAGATTCAGGGCCTCAGTCTATCCTCATAGTGCAGATTCAGGGCCTCAGTCTATCCTCATAGTGCAGATTCAGGGCCTCAGTCTATCCTCATAGTGCAGATTCAGGGCCTCAGTCTATCCTCATAGTGCAGATTCAGGGCCTCAGTCTATCCTCATAGTGCAGATTCAGGGCCTCAGTCTATCCTCATAATGCAGATTCAGGGCCTCAGCCTATCCTCATAGTGCAGATTCAGGGCCTCAGTCTATCCTCATAGGGAAGATTTCTGATACATGGGATCAACTTTGTCATCCTCCTTTGTATGTTTTCCAGAGCATTTATATCCATTCTGTAATACGGTGACCAGAACTGAGCAGCATAGTCTAAATGAGGCCTAACCAAGGATGTATAGAGTTGAAGAACAACCTGAGGACTTCTATTATTTATACTTCTTGATATGAAGCCAAGAATTCTGTTAGTTTATTGCCAACACTAATGTACTGTTGTCTTGGTGTTAGATTACTGCTAACCAGAACTCCTAAATTCTTTTCGTAATCCATAATATTAAGATCTACAATATTTAGTTTATAAGTGGCATGGTTATTTTCCTGTCCAACATTTAGAACTTTCCATTTGTCTATATTAAACTGCATCTGCCACTTCTCCAACCATAGCCTCTACCCAGGAAAAAAAATTTCTCCTATTCCGTGTGCCTTAAGTTTCCTCAATAGCCTCTGATGCAGAAGTCTACTGAAAGTCTTACATATTCAGCATCATAATCTACCTCCTAAAATACCTTAGTGAAGAAAGTTACTAAATTCATAAGACAGGAATGCCCAGTGCTTAGAGAAGCTGTGAAGCGCTTCCCATCAGTGTAAAAGTGATAAATTATGCACAATAAGTGAAGAATTATCAATGAAACTTTTAGGTGTGTGCGTAAACAAAAAGCGACTTATATACAGGGTTGGCTACTATCTGTGTTTTCGGGCATCCATGGTAGGTCTAGGCAGGTATCCCCCCCGGAGATACCACGACACTACTGCATTTTTTAAAACCATAATATTTTAGCTTAATAATAATAATAAATTTATTTCAGCATCTTCAGCTTGTCAATGCACAGAATAAGACAGATCAATACTTATAAATGGGACATTTTGTTTATCAATACACTGGCTGTCTCCCACCAAGGCACGGTGACCTGAAAACAAGACGAGTTGCTTTTACCATCACTCGGTTAGCTACTGTCTTGCCAGAGGCATGCTGATCTCACAGTTTAGGTGACCCTCTGAGCCGTAACATCCTCACTCATCCTTCAGAGTACAGGTATTGTACTTCCCACCTCCAGGACTGTAACATCCTTACTCATCCTTCAGAGTACAGGTATTGTACTTCCCACCTCCAGGACTGTAACATCCTCACTCATCCTTCAGAGTACAGGTATTGTACTTCCCACCTCCAGGACTGTAACATCCTCGCTCATCCTTCAGAGTACAGACACTGTATTTCCCACCTCCAGAACTCAAGTCCGGTCAACTGGTATCCCTAAATCTCATCATAAAAATCACCGATCCCTCTTGGAAACAATTTAAATGCTCAATCAGCGACATCCTCAACACGCACCTATATACGTATGCCTGGCACGTGTGGTGGAGTTCCAGGTGCAGCGAGCATGGAGAATGTCACTTGTTTTAACATGAAATATCTGGGACATGGGGTAGAATGCCTGGGGCCAGTGTGGGTTACCCTTGGCTATCTCCGTATATTCCTTTTTCTGGAAGAAACAAAACTGTCGTTAGATAACTTAGACAAAAACACAAAACGATTACCCAAACACCATTAAAAATTCATACACAAAAAAAAAAAAGTGTATTATACGTAAAAACATCATCAAGAAACATTAAAACACAAATAAATATACTACAATGTTATACATAAAACACTATCAAACACATTAAAGCACAACCTGAATACACAAAAAAACACCGTCAAACACAGTAATGTCAGCCCATGTCTGGCAAGACAACTGTTGAATTAATGATGGTAGCTGTGGGTCACACTGCCTTGGAAGGCGAGATCCAGTGTACACAAGGAGAAATGGGTTAGAATCCTTCCCATGTAAGCCGTGTGTGTCATAAGAGGTGACTAAAATGCCGGCAGCAAGGTGATAATAGCCCCTTCTCCCATATAAATTACTAAATGTGGTAGTAATGAGAAAAAATACACAGATATACAGTGGAACCTTGGTATTCAAACTTCATTAGTTTCAGACGGCTGTTCGAGTACGGAACAAATTTTTCCCAACTAATTTTCTATTTGGTTGGCTGTTATTACTAATCTTCATAGGCCCTATGGTTACTTATTTATATAAATAATATAAAAAAAATCACCAAAAAATATGAAGAAACGCGAAATAGTTTACGGAAAAGTTCCGGCAGGCCGTGTTTGTTTGGTCGAGTGCCGAGCAAACAGTCGACCACCAAGTGATTTTTTTTTACCAAACGAAGCATTCAAACACCGAATTGTTCGAGTAGGGAACTGTTCAGGTTCCACTGTACATCTCTTTGTGCATACGCACAGAGATACGGCACCTGCACCTCTGTGTGTACATGCAGATTGGTGGATTATGTGCACTGACTCCAGGGACTGATTACCTCTGAACTGATGAAGCCACTGACTGATAAAACAATGAAGATACCCAAGTACAGTATTATTATAATTATGGGGGAGCACTAAACCCATAGGATTATACAGCACCTGTGGGGGGGGGGGAGATGAAAGGTATTCAGACTTAATTCAGGGAACCAGAGCACAGATCCAATTCCCTAGATCAAGAACCCCTCACCAGCATCAAGGAACCTCCCTTGAGGGCCAAGTACAGTAGAACCCCCATATCTGCAGTTTCAATTATCCAGGGTTCACTGTAGCCCTAAAATAAGCCTTAATTTTACTTAATAATGGCACCAAATAACAACAGTAGTGATGAGGTTCTTTACACCAGTGAAAAAATTATAATTTACCGCTTATTGTGCGTAATTTATCAATTAGAGTAAACTTTATCAAAGGCTGATACAGTCTTGATATATGCAAATGAAGAAAAGACATATATACAATAAGTTCTCAACTTGTGAATGCATTGGGGACCTCCTGAAGTATGTATAACATTCACAATACGGGAAGTCTTCAATGTATGAACACGTTGGGGACCTGTATTGTGTAAAATATGACATTATACACGATACAGAAGACTCAACGTGCTTGTAAGTCAAGGACTTACTGTATTGGGAATGTCTAATTCATTGACCTGTTGGCCGACTGAATTATTTATCTACACATCGGGAAGTCTTACCGCAGAATCGAACAGGTACCCCGAGATGACGGTGCCCAACACGTGGGCATGGACACGATAAGCAAACAGGTATATGTCTGTGGGCTCCCCGGTTGTACCGATGACACAGTTCATATCCGCGTGAGTTTCTGAAAACAGCAAAAAAAAATTCTTTTTAAATAAAGTTAGTTCTATTACAAAGTTCTATATACAGTTGACTCATTTATAAAACTCCTCTATATACAGTGGACCTCCGGTTTACGATCACCTCCCAATGTGCCCAATTATGTAAGTGTATTTATGTAAGTGCGTTTGTACGTGTATGTTTGGGGGTCTGAAATGGACTAATTTAATTCACAATATTCCTTATGGCAACAAATTCATTCAGTAATGGCACTTGAACATACGTCTGGAATGAAATAATATCGTAAACCAGGGGTCCACTGTATAGTCAGGTCTCTTATGTAAACAAAACATCTCATCCAGCCACACAAACGCAAACAGAATGAACGCCTCACTTTCGGTGTTTGGAGGGATGTCGGTGAAGCCGGAGGCCAGAAGGTAGATACCAGCTTTGTACTTCTGTCTGGAAAACAAACAAATGCCAAGTCAGCATCAGTCCCTCATTTTATTTACGGCCGCTGTTAAGCAAAAATTTAGTTGAGATAAAGCGTATCCTCATTTTATGGATGAGGGTGACTTACGAGTAGTAATACATGGTAGTCCTTGATTAAACGAGCCTTGGTTTAATGGACCTTGATTTAATGGACCTTGATTTAATGGCCCTCATATTAATGGCCCTGGATTTAATGGACCCTTACAGGAGAGACCTGGTCACACCATAATGTCAAAGAGGGGCCAGGAGCTGTGAATTGACTCCTGCAACCACAAACAGGCAAGTACAAATATATGAGTACAAATATATGAGTACAAATAGATGAGTACAAATAGGTGAATACAAATGTGAGTACAAATATAAGTGCAAATAGGTGAGTATATATAGGCGAGTACAAATAGGCCAGTACCAATTCAAATTCGAATAATTTCCACCACAAACAACAAACAAACAACATGGTGACTTACTCTTGCTGCGTCATCTCCATGCGTACACCTGAGTGGTCGTTGACGCCCTCGGGCAGGGGCTTGGAGTAGTGGATCTGGAGGGTGAGGTAGCGGATACCCGTCTTGCCACCGATACGGAAGCCCACACCCTTCGGCAGGTTGGTTGCCGGTGCGTTCTTTGCCCAGGCATACATTATGCGTCCCCCCATACACACTCCATGGTGACCACAGTCCCTGCGTGGACACGTATTCATTAGTAGGTATGGGTGGCCTTCGACTTACGGTGAGGTCACGTTCCGACAAAACCACCGTAAGTTGGAAATGTTGTAAGTCAAATATGAATATATATATGATAAATAAATCGGTAAATAATTACTGTCGCTGAATAAGTCAATAATTAAATAATTACTATAAATACCAGTATTGAAAAGTCAATAAATGAATACAAGTTTATCAGTAAACGTAGAGTACAAAATTTTTGATTAGTACAAGTTCAAACGGTGTGAATTCTGAGTACAGTAACTCCTCACGTAACGACCTACTTGTGTAATGATTCAGACTTACGACTTGCTCTCTGACCAGTGTGCAAGCCTATGTATATTACAGTATACAAACCAAAGTAATGTATATTAGAGATAATTTCCTCTATTCTGTATATTACAATATACAGTACACTACTGTGTAAACATTTAAAAATATATACTAATACTAATGTTATAAATGATGCAAAGGTGACATTAAAACAATATCACTTTCATATTTACCTACAAAAGACCTATATATTTATTAACCTACACGAGGCCTATATACTTGCCTACAAGAGGCCTATACATTTATTAATGTACAGTCACTGGATGAATCCAAAGTCAGCTGTGTGGTAGCACTGGACATTGCTGGTGCTTTCAACTGATTGTGGCACCAGGTGTGGCACCGGGTGTGGCACCAGGTGTGGCACCGGGAGTGGCACCAAGGCCTCTTAGCAAAACTTCAAGCACTGGGAATTGCAGGCTCTACGCTATGTCTCCTCAGTGATTACCTTCATGGTAGATCTCTAAGGGTAGTTCTCAATGGAACAGAATCAGCAAGACATCCTATTGGGGCAAGTGTTCCACAAGGAAGCGTGCTGGGACCATTGTTATGGAATGTCTACTTCAACGACCTTCTTCATCTCATCCCAGAATTCCATACATATGCAGACGACTGTACACTGACATTCACTTATCCAAGAGAAGAAATGCCAGCTGCTCTAAGGTACATCAGTCACCAGCTGAGAGCTATATCAGCTTGGGGAAATAGATGGCAAGTAACATTTGCACCTGAGAAAATGCAAATGATGATGGTCTCTAGGCACCATGATGGTAATGCTGGTGCAGTAGTAAGGATGAATGGGAGGGTGTTGGCACCTGGAGAAGAAGTTGATATTCTTGGGGTGAAATTCGACTCCAAACTGACCATGAAGAACCACACCGTAAATCTTGCATACAAGACAGCCAGGAAGCTTACAGCACTTTGATGTATCTCGTATCTGCTTGACAAAGGGGGGTTGCAAGATTCTGTATGAGGCACAAGTACGCTCACACTTTGAGTATGCTCCACTTTCTTGGTTTGCCTGCCCCTCCTCTCATCTCTCCCTGGAGCAATCCTGGATAGATCTGTCATTTCAGCAGAGCCTTCAACACAGGAGGGATGTGGGTGGCCTTACTGTTATGTACAAGGCCAACACTGTCAAAATACCACACTTGACTCCACTTCGAGGACAGCGTGAAGCAAGCTTCTATACCACAAGACGGGCAGCCAGCAGCAACTTCACTCTGGCTGTCACCTTCTCCAGAACATCACTTCATCTGAGATCATTTATCCCTAGGATGACTTGAGTATGGAACACGTTCGTACAGCATTATGATGTCAACAAGATAAAGTCAGTTGATCAAATGAAAATGCTGGCCCACAGATGGCTCCAACTTCATCCTGTTCCCTACATGTATGATTTATAACAATAAAAATGCTTTCAAATGAGCTAATGTAGGTAACAGCTGTTAGCTTGTCAATAAAGTTAGGAATCCTTAACTTGCAAATAGCTTGTCAATAAAGCTAGGGATCCTTAACCTTGTCAAACCCTGTGTAAAAAAAAAAAAAAAAGACCTATATATTTGCCTACAAGAGGCCTATATATTTATTAACCAACAAGAGGCTTATATATTTACCAGCCTACAAGAGGATGCCTATGTATTTAACCCGTAAACGGTCCAAGCAGATCTACGTTCACACGTGTAGCGCTACAAAAGTAGATCTACGTTTTTTTTTACATATTTTCAAATATAACAAAAAAAATAGTAGATTAAAGTTTTTTTAAACATTTTCAAATGTAAAAAAAAAAAAAAGAATTTACTTTTTTTACATACTTTCAAATGTTGAAAAAACGTATATATACGTTTGGACCGTTTACGGGTTAATGGCCTGGTTCCAACATATTCGTCATCCTGGCCGAGGATGCCAACATATTTATCGGCCTGGCCGGTAAAGGAAGCTGGCTTTACCAGTATCCGTTCTTCATTAAATTTTGGTCGACGTCAGAGCAGCCAAAGAGCAACATGTGGTGCGCCCGGTTGGCCGAGGCCAGCGGGTCGAACTTCACCACCCACTCCTCCACGTTCTCATCCAGGCTGAAAGCCGTGCACAGGTAGGCGTCGTTCTGAAATGATGAATCAAATTAATATTGATTCTGGGGCGATTTTGAGAAAGAGAGAAAGAGAAAGAGAAAGAGAGAAAGAGAGAGAGAGAGAGAGAGAGAGAGAGAGAGAGAGAGAGAGAGAGAGAGAGAGAGAGAGAGAGAGAGAGAGAGAGACAGACAGAGAGACAGAGACAGACAGACAGAGACAGACAGAGACAGAGACAGACAGACAGAGAGAGAGACAGAGAGACAGAGAGACAGACAGAGAGACAGAGAGACAGACAGAGAGACAGAGAGACAGACAGAGAGACAGAGACAGAGGCAGAGACAGACAGAGACAGAGACAGAGACAGACAGAGACAGAGACAGACAGAGACAGAGACAGACAGAGACAGAGGCAGAGAGACAGAAACAAAGATATATATATATATATATTTTTTTTTTTTTTTTTTTTTTTTTCAACAAACCGGCCGTATCCCACCAAGGCAGGGTGGCCCAAAAAGAAAAACGAAAGTTTCTCTTTTTAAATTTAGTAATTTATACGGGAGAAGGGGTTACTAGCCCCTTGCTCCTGGCATTTTAGTCGCCTCTTACAACACGCATGGCTTACGGAGGAAGAATTCTGTTCCACTTCCCCATGGAGATAAGAGGAAATAAACAACAACAAGAACTAGAAAGAAAATAGAAGAAAACCCAGAGGGATGTGTATATATACATACATATATATGCTTGTACATGTATGTGTAGTGTGACCTAAGTTTAAGTAGAAGTAGCAAGACATACCTGAAATCTTGCATGTTTATGAGACAGAAAAAAAGGACACCAGCAATCCTACCATCATGTAAAACAATTACAGGCTTTCGTTTTACACTCACTTGGCAGGACGGTAGTACCTCCCTGGGCGGTTGCTGTCTACCAACCTACTACCTAGTATATATATATATATATATATATATATATATATATATATATATATATATATATATATATATATATATTATATATATATACAGTGGTCCCCGCTTTTCGTAGTTCCCGGCAATCATAAATTTCGCCAATCATAGGGGTATTTTCGTATAAACATGGACTCGCTTTTCATAGGTTGACTCGCGAGTCGTAGTTTGTCCGGGACGCGTACCCACAGCGTGAGCCGGGGCGGCAGCCAGTCTGGCATTGTTTACCAGTGAGCGAAGGCCCCCTCACGTGCTCCAGCGAAATATTTCATAATATTCCATTTATTTTAGTGCTTGCAAGTACTAAATAAGCTACCATGGCTCCAAAGAAAGCTCCTAGTGCCAAGCCTGTGGTAAAGAAGGTGAGAAATATGATTGAATTTAAGAAAACCATCATTGAACAATATAAATGTGGTACAAGTGTAGCCGAACTGTCCAGGATGTATAAGAAACTCTACACAACCTTATGTTCCATAGTGGCCAAGAAAAAGGAAATAAAGGATGCTGTTGTTGCAAAGGGAGTAACTATGCTGACAAAAATGAGATCACCAGTACTGGAAGAGGTTATTATTGGTGAGGATAAATGAGAAACAATTAGCAGGAGATACTCTTATGACTTCGATTATTTGTGAAAAGGCTAGGCAGTTGCACAACGATCTGGTAAAGAAATTGCCTGCAACTAGTGGTGATGTGAGTGAATTTAAGGCCAGCAAAGGCTGGTTCGAGAGATTTAAGAACCGTACTGGCATACACAGTGTGGTAAGGCATGGTGAGGCTGCCAGTTCGGACCACAAGGCGGCTGAAAAATATGTGCATGAATTCAAGGAGTACATAGAGGCTGAAGGACTGAAACCTGAACAAGTGTTCAATTGTGACAAAACAGGCCTCTTTTGGAAGAAAATACCAAAGAGGACCTTCATTACACAAGAGGAAAAGGCAATGCCAGGACACAAGCCTATGAAAGACAGGCTGACGCTAATGTTCTCTGCTAATGCTAGTGGGGATTTCAAAGTGAAGCCATTACTAGTGTACCATTCTGAAAATCCCAGAGTGTTCAGGAAAAACAATGTTATGAAGAGTAAATTGTGTGTGTTTTGGAAATCTAATAGTAAGGCATGGGTCACGGAGGAAATTTTCGTCGAGTGGTTCAATGAAGTGTTTGGCCCTAGTGTGAAGGAGTATCTCCTGGGAAAGAAATTGGATCTCAAGTGCCTGCTAGTAATGGACAATGCACCTGCTCATCCTCCAAACTTGGATGACCTAATTTTCGAGGAGTTTGGGTTCATCACAGTAAAGTTCTTGCCCCTGAATACCACTCCTCTCCTCCAACCCATGGACCAGCAGGTTATTGCAAACTTTAAAAAAAACTCTACACAAAAACAATGTTTCACAGGTGCTTGACTGTGACCACAGACACTCACTTGACCCTAAGGGAATTTTGGAGAGAACACTTCAGCATCCTCCACTGCATAACCCTTATAGGTATGGCTTGGGAGGGAGTGACTACCAGGACTTTGAACTCTGCCTGGAGAAAATTGTGGCCAGATTGTGTCGACAAGAGGGATTTTGAAGGATTTGGGACTGACCCTAATGAGCCTATGTCTGTTGTAAAATCAATTGTGGCACTGGGGAGTTCCATGGGGTTGGGTGTGAGTTTGGAGGATGTGGAAGAATTGGTGGAAGACCACAATGAAGAGCTCACCACTGAGGAGCTGCAAGAGCTTCAGCAGGAAGAGCAACACATCGCAGCTCAGAATCTTGCTGCAGAGGAGGAGGAAGAGAGATGGAAGAAGGTGCCTTCTTCAGAAATTAGAGATTTTTACTATGTGGGGTAAGATGGAAGGCTTTATGGAGAAACATCACCCTAACAAGGTTGTTGCAAGCCAGGTTGGCAACATGTACAGTGACAAAGTCTTGGGCCATTTTAGGGAAGTGTTAAAGAGGCACCAGAAACAGAGCTCTCTGGACAGTTATTTTGTGAGACAGGACTCCAGTGACTCTCAAGGTGGTCCTAGTGGCATTAAGAAACAGAGAAGAGAAGCAACCCCAGAAAAGCAAATGGTGCCTGAGGTGTTGATGGAAGGGGATTCCCCTTCCAAACTATAAACAATCCACTCTCTCTCCTCCTCCAGTCTCCCATACACTAAGAAGAATCACCAATAAAGGTAAGTGTTATGCTGTTAATGTTTCATTCATCATTTCCCATTGTATTGTTTATGTACTACATGTATATTTTATGTAAAAATTTTTTTGTTTTAATACTTCTGGGTGTCAGGAACGGATTAATTGTATTTACATTATTTCTTATGGGGAAAATTGATTCGTAAATCAGCTCCAGGAACGGATTAACTACGAAAAACGAGGGACCACTGTATGTATGTATGTCGTGCTGAATAGGCAGAATTTGCAATCTTGGCTTAAATAGCAACGCTCATCTTGCCATATAGGACAAGTGAAAATTTGTGTATGCAATAATTTCGCCAAAATCATTCTGAACCTAACGAAAAAAATATATTTCACTGTGTTTGTTTAGTATTAAATTATTGTAAACAAATCTAAAATATATCTAGTTGGGTTAGGCTAAAATAAATTGCTCTTATTATAATAAGGTTAGGTAAGTTTTCTAAGGTTCTTTTGGTGCAAAATTAAAATTTTTTAAATTAACATTAATGAAAAAATATATCTTTAAATGTAAAAGAGAAAATTTTAGAAAGGACTTAATTTTAAATGAGTTCTTGATAACTGACCAGTTTTACATATTCGGCACGACATATATGTGTATATTTTTTTTTTTCTAGGTAGTAGGTTGGTAGACAGTAACCGCCCAGGGAGGTACTACCGTCCTGCCAAGTGAGTGTAAAACGAAAGCCTGTAATTGTTTTACATGATGGTAGGATTGCTGGTGTCTTTTGTCTGTCTCATAAATATGCAAGATTTTCAGGTACATCTTGCTACTTCTACTTACACTTAGGTCACACTACACATACATGTACAAACATTTATATACACCCCCCTCTGGGTTTTCTTCTATTTTCTCTCTAGTTCTTGTTCTTGTTTATTTCCTCTTATCTCCATGGGGAAGTGGAACAGAATTCTTCCTCCGTAAGCCATGCGTGTCGTAAGAGGCGACTAAAATGCCGGGAGCAAGGGGCTAGTAACCCCTTCTCCTGTATATATTACTAAATGTAAAAGGAGAAACTTTTGTTTTTCCTTTTGGGCCACCCCGCCTCGGTGGGATACGGCCGGTGTGTTGAAAGAAAGAAAGAAATATATATGAGAAGTACAATGCCTGCACTTTAAAGGAGGGGCTTGGGATATTGGCAGTTTGGAGGGATATGTTGTGTATCTTTATACATATATGCTTCTAAACTGTTGTATTCTGAGCACCTCTGCAAAAACAGTGATTATGTGTGAGTGAGGTGAAAGTGTTGAATGATGATGAAAGTATTTTCTTTTTGGGGATTTTCTTTCTTTATGGGTCACCCTGCCTTGGTGGGAGATGGCCAGCTTGTTAAAAATATATATATATATATATATTATATATATATATAGTGGTACCTTGACTTACGAGTACCCCAACTTACGAGTTTTCTGAGTTGCGAGCCGTCGCTTGGTCGATTTTTTGCTTTAGCTGCGAGCCCAAATCTGAGTTAAAGCGAGATTCAGATACACCGCCATTAGTTGGCGCAGCGAATGCCACAACATTCACCCAGCATCATCAGTAAGTTTATTCAGGTATACACAAATACAGATACACAGATTATCATGCATAGCAGCATATGTATAGAGAACCTGGGATAACCCAAAAAAGTCAAACAAAGTGACTTATTTCCACTGGGGTCATTTTGTTACCTTATCAATTATGTTACATTTGTGTAAAAGATCAAATGTGAATGGTGGAGGCGCAGGTAGTTGGTGGGGTAAACCTGTGGTGCAGGGTTATGGGAAGCGCAGGAGGGTACACTACACACGGAGCAAGCCTGGGGAG